TGAAGCAAGTCCTGCTTCATAAGGTCGGCTCCTGCACAGCAACTCTTCCACTGTAGTTGCAGCTGGTTCTTACAGCTGATTTGCCTGGAGACCAACCCCTGCCAGACATGCCAACAACAATCATGGCTCAACTACAACAGGAGAGTGCACACAGCCCACACAGGGACGCACTTGGAGTGCCCAGCTCAAGTAACTGGGGACGCTGAGCCACTGGGCCCTACAGGAAACCTACTACACAAGTCCACTCTACCAAGTCCAGGAGACATAGCAGCTCTACCTATGCATAAAGACAAACACAGGGAAGCAGCCAAATTTCAGAGACAAAGAAACATGTTGCAAATGGAAGAACAAAAGAAATCTCCAGAAAAAGAACTAAATGAAATGGAAGCAAGCAAACGACCAGATACAGAGTTCAAAACAATGGTTATAAGGATGCTCAAGGACCTTTGTGAGAACTTCAAGAAACTTAGGGAGAACTTCAAGGCACTTAGGGAAGACATCAACAACATAAAAAAGAAGCAGTCAGAAATGAAGGATACACTAGCTGAAATGAAGAATAATTTACAAGGAATCAACAGTAAAGTAGAGGACACTGAGAATCAAATTGGCAATTTGGAATATGAGGAAGCAAAAAGCACCCAATCAGAACAGAAAACGAAGAAAGAATCCAAAAATATTAAGGTAGTGTAAGGAGCCTCTGGGACAATTTCAAACATACAAACATTTGCATCATGGGGATGCCAGAAGGAGAAGAGAGGGAACAAGAAATTGAAAACCAATTTGAAAAAATAGAGAATTTCTATTTCCTGGTGAAAGAAATATACATACAAATCCAGGAAGTTCAGAGATTAATTCAAAGAGGCCCACACCAAAACATCATCATAATTAAAGTGCTAAAGGTTAAAGACAAAGAGAGAATCTTAAAAGCAGCAAGAGAAAAGCAGTTAGTTACCTACAAGAGAGCACCCATAAGACTGTCAGCTGATTTCTCAACAGAAACTTTGCAGGCTAGAAGGCAGTGGCAATAAATATTCAAAGTGATGAAAAACAAGGGCCTACAACCAAGATTACTCTACCCAGCAAAGCTATCATTTAGACATAAAGGTCAGATAAAGAGCTTCCCAGGCAAGAAAAAACTAAAGGAGTTCATCACCAACAAACCAGTATTACATGAAATGTTAAAGGGTCTTCTAGAAAAAGGAGAAGGGGAAGGGGAAGGGAAAGGGGGAGGGGAAGGGGAAGGGGAAGAGGAAGAGGAAGAAGAAGAAGAAGAAGAAGAAGAAGAAGAAGAAGAAGAAGGCTTAAAATATGAACAATAGAATGGCAATAAATACTTATCCATCAACAATTGAATCTAAAAATCAAAATAAATGAACAAGCAGAACAGAAACAGACTTTTAGATACAGAGAATATTTTGATGGTTGCCAGATGGGAAGGGTGTTGGGGGCATGGGTGAAAAAGGTGAAGGGATTTAGAAGTACAATTTTTTTTCTTTTAACTAAAGATCATTTATTTGTTTTTCACTAAGACTTTATCTTAGGACATAATTAAACTGTGTTACCACCGCCTACCCCAACTTGAAGAAGGGTTACTACAGTGAATGTTATAAAGTAGATATGAACAGTTTTTAAACGATTGGAACCAACGTTGACTGACAAAGAAAAACTCCCTTCTAAATCATCATAATAAAGTTTAAGTTTAAAAAAGAGAGAAAAGCCCTGGCCGGTTTGGCTCAGCGGTTAGAGCATCCGCCTTGGTCCGGAGAGACCCAGGTTCGGTTCCCCTCTAAGGGCACGTACTTCGGTTGCAGTTTGTCCCCGGCCCTGGTTGGTCGTGCGGTGGCAGCCACTCGATGTGTCCCTTTCACATCGATGTTTCTCTCTCTCTGTCTCTTCCTCTCTCTCCCTCCCACTCTATCTGTACAAAAAATGGAAAAATGTCCTCGGGTGAGGATAAAAAAATAAAATAAAATAAAAAAAAGAGAGAAAAAGGGAGTGATGGAAACTCAGATTGAACAAGATCCTCACATTTCATCTAACACATTCAATCCTGGCTAGAATATACCAAAATGGAAACAGAATTACTATATTACAAAACTTCCACTACAGATAGCGGTACACACCTGTGTTCCAAGCACACCCCCAACCCCCAGTGCTTCCAACACAACTATTTCCCAGCCTATTGGGCCTGCCAATGAAAGAGCACATAGATCTTCTCTTTAATCCAATCTTTGTTATAAGGCTGGTATGTCTGGGTATCAGCTTGGTAAACAAGACAGCTGAGGTCTTCCAGATCATCAATAAAATCAAACAACTGGCTGATATCCTATGTAATAGAGGGACTGTTGGGATTCATTCTCTTCAGATGTTCTTCATACATTTTACCAACGCCTTCCATGCATTCATTCACTGATTCATAATCAGCATAAGTTCTGCCTTCTGGCCTCTTGGTCCGCTGTACCAGTAAAATGGTGTGAGACATTGCACCAAACTCTTTCACTGCAGCCGCGGCCAACACCACCGCCAAACACGAGCTTAGCCTCAAAGCGGCCAACAGCCAACCCCCACGAGAGGAGCCACCCTAGAAGTACAAATTAATAGTTATAATGTAGTCGTGGAGGTGTAAAGTACAGTATAGGGAATATAGTCAATAATATTCTTTTTTTTTTTTTTAATCCTCACCCGAGGACACTTCTTCCATATTTTGTTCAGATAGAGTGGGAGGGAGAGAGAGAGAGAAACATCAACGTGAAAGAGACACATCAAGTGGTTGTCACCTGCACAACCCAACCAGGGCCGGGGACAAACTGCAACAGAGGTACGTGCCCTCAGCGGGAACCGAACCCGGGTCTCTCTGGACCGCAGGCTGAAGCTCCAACAGCTGAGCCAAACCGGCCAGGGCAATATTCTTATAACTATGTATGGTGTCAGATGGGTATAAGATTTTTCAGGATAATCACTTAATATGTTTTATACTGTCTAATCACTGGGATGTACACCTAAAACTAATATAACAGTAATTTTAAAATAAAAAAAGTATTAAATAAAACCTTTGAAAGAAACTAAATGTGCAGCTATCATACAACTAAGTACCAAATTTCTGGGTATTTATCCCAGAGAAATGCAAAGAATGTTTGCAAAAATATACTTGTGTGTGAACGTTTACAGCAACTTATACATAATAACCCCAAACTAGATAACCCAAATGTCCTTCAACAGATGAATAGTTAAACAAACTGTGATAATCCATACCATGGAATACTACTTAGCAATAAAAAGAAGAAACCATTGGTATACACAAGAACTTGGATGAATCTCCAGGGAATTATGCTGAGTGTAAAAAAGGCCAATTCCAAGTTGTTGAATATTATATTATTTTATTGAAATGGCATAATTATAGCCCTGGCCAGTTTGGCTTAGCAGTTAGAGTGTCGGCCCACAGACCAATGAGTCGCGGGTTTGATTCTGGTCAAGGGCACATACATCAGTTGCGGTTTGTTCTTGGTCCTGGTTGGGGTCATGCGGGAGGCAACCAGTCAATGTGTCTCTCTCACGTTGATTTTTCTCTCTCTCTCTCTCTCTCTCTCTCTCTCTCTCTCTCTCTCTCTCTCTCTCTCCTTCTCTCTCCCTCCCTTCCACTCTATCTTAAGATAAATAGAAAAATATCCTCAGGTGAGGATTTTTTTTTAAATGCCATAATTATAGAAATGGATTACAGATTAGTGGTTGCCAGAGGTTAAAGAGGGGGTGGTATCAGGAGAGAAAGGGGTATATCTATAAAAGGTAACTTAAGGAATCTTTGTTTTCACAGAAATGATGGAAATGTTTTAAATCTTGACTATATCAATGTCGATGTCCTGATTGTGATATTGTACTATATACAGTTTGGTAAGATATTACCATTGGGAGGAAACAAAGTAAAGGGTGTTTCTAACAAATACATGTGAATCTATAACCATTTCAAAATAAAAACTTAAACAGTTAAAAAACATGTGGTACACATGTACAATGGAATATTACTTGGCCATAAAAAAGAATAAAATGTTACCATTTGTGACAGCATGGATGGACCTAGAGAGCATATGACAAGTAAAATAAGTCAGTCATGGAAAGACAAATACCGTATGATTTTACTTATATGCAGAATTTAAAGAACAATGTAAACAAATACAAAACAGAAACAGGCTCATAGAGACAGAACAGCTTGATGGTTGCCAGGGGAGAGGGGGGTTGGGGGACTAGGTGAAAAAGGTTAAAGGATTAAGAAGTACAAATTGGGCCCTGGCAGGTTTGGCTCAGCAGTTAGAGTGTTGGCCTGTGGTCCAGGGAGACCCGGGTTTGGTTCCCACTAAGGGCATGTACCTCGGTTGCAGTTTGTCCCCGGCCCTGGTTGGCTCATACAGGTGGCAGCCACTCGATGTGTCCTTTCACACCAATGCTTCTCTTTCTCTTCCTCTCTCTCTCTCCCACTCTATCTGAACAAAAGATGGAAAAATGTCCTTGAGTGAGGATAAAAATTAAAAAGAAGAAGAAGAAGAAGTACAAATTTGTAGCTGCAAAATAATCATGGGGATGTAAAACATAACATAGGGAATATAGTCAATAATATTGTAATAACTATGTACAGTGGCAGGTGGGTACTGGACATATCAGGAAGAACACTTTGTAAAGTATATGGTTGTCTAACCATTATGCTATACAACAGAAACTAATACAAAATAATATTGACTGTAAACTGTACTTGAAAAATAAAAAAATTTATAAACCAGTTACCTAAAAAAAAAAAAAGAAAGAAAGAAAGAGTGGAGACAAGAAGGCAGTGTCATGTCATGTACAGAGTGCTGGGTAGGGGGATTTCTACCAAGAATTCTAGAATTCAGTTCACCATGGTAACAGATCATGACAACACTTTCTTCTCCCCAGCTTTGGGTGTCCCTTCAGGTCTTCTGCTCTAAGATGTGCTGAGGGGAAGGGCATGGAGAGGTCTCTGACCTGACACTATGAGGGACAAAAGAGATGCCAATTTTGAAAATACAAGTACTGAACAACTGAAACTGGAGTTATTGGAAGGACTCCATAAGAAAGACTTAGTACAACTTTCAATAATTGAACTAAGACACAAGTTTGCAGAACTGGAAGCCAAATTCACTACTGACAATAAAGGCAGTGAATGGAAAACCTATTATGAGTTACAACTTGACATGAATGATCAACTGAAAAAGAAAATAGTTACTCTGAAAGAGAAATTGAAAAAACTCCATGAAGATCCTTCACATAGACTATCTACTATTCATGTCTATGAGCGAATGCCAGTGAAATCCTTAGTTACATTACTTGAAAAGGTAGACAAGGAAAACAGGCATCTTAAATATCAAGTGAAATACTATTCAGTTAAACTAAAAGAATCAAAAGCTTACCAAAAGATCAAGGATGAATGCCAAATATACCCAGCTAAACTATCTCAGGTCTCTCGCTTACACTGAATTTCTAGAAGGCAACACGTAGATTAACTTTATTGCTGCTTTTAAGATTCTCTTTGTCTTTAACCTTTTGCATTTTGATGATGATGTGTCTTTGGGACTCTCTGTGCTACCTGGACTTGGATATCTGTTTCCTTCACCAAGTTAGGGAAGTTTTCTGTCATGAGTTTTTCAAATAGGTTTTCAATTTCTTACTCTCTCTCTTCTCCTTCTGGCACCCCCATGATGTGAATGTTGGAAGTTGTCTCAGATGCTCCTTATTCTATCCTCACTTTTTTTCTTTTTTCTTTTTGCTGTTCTGATTGGGTGTTTTTCACTCCCTTATATTCCGAATCAATGGTTTGCTTCTTGGCTTTGCCTACTCTACTATCGATTCCCTGTAAATTATTCTTTATTTCAGTTAGTGCATCCTTCATTTCTGACTGGTCTTTATTTATGCTCTTGAGGTCCTCACTAAGTTCCTTGACATTCTCACAAAGTTCCTTGAAATTCTTACTAAGTTCATTGAGCATCCTTATAACCAGTGTTTTGAACTCTGTATCTAATTGATTGCTTATCTCTATTTTGTTTAGTTCTTTACCTGGAGTTTTGTTCTGTTCTTTCATTTGGGACGTTTCTTTGTCTCATTGTGGCTACCTCCCTGTGTTTGTTTCTATGCATTAGGTAGAGTTGTAGGTCTCCTAGGCTTGGTAGAGTGGTCTATTGTAGTAGGTGTCCTGTAGGGTCCAGTGGCACAGCCACCCAGGTCACCCCAGGTGGGCCCATGAGGTGCACTCCTCGTTTGAACTGTACACCCTTCTGTTGTAATTGAGTCTTGATTTCTGTTGGCATGTCAATGGGAGGGATTTACTCAGGCTGATCAGCTCCAAGGATTGGCTGTACCTACAGACCACAAACCTGACTAGCTTGGAGGATCCGCTGTGCAGGGGCCACCATACAGAGCAAGACTTACCTCAGCAGGGCTCTGGTACCCACTGAGTCTACTCCTTGAGTGTGTCACTTGTGGAGGTGGTCGGTTGATGGTGCTTCAATATGGTCTGAAGCTGTCCATTGGGTATACTGGCTCTGGAGCAAGGTCAGCCACTGCCTGTGTTTTACCCGGGACCACCAGGCATAAGCTACAAAGTGATCTGCAGATGGCTGCTTCTTGTGCTGGGCTTGGCGGTACCCCGGCAAAGCCAAGCTATGAACCAAGGCTGACTGCTTCTAGTGCCAGGCCTGGGTCCACTTAGAGAGAGGTATGGGGCTCACTGTGCCCAGATATTGCTTGTTTAAGAGAATTTAGGAAAATCTGAAGCAGTAGCCAAGACAGACCATTCTTATGGTAAAGCCACAGGAAACAGCTTGGGTGGGCCTGGAAGTTGGGTGTGGCAGGACCTCAGGGAATCACCAGGACAGGGCAAACAGTGTGAGTGGGATTGCTGGAGTCCCAGATATGACACCCATCTACTGGCTCGTGGGGGAAGGGATCACTAAAGGAACAATGGCCTCCGCCAGCATATTTGTCATGGAGAAAGCTGCCTCTCCAGCCCTCACCCCAATACCAAACAATTCAGTTCTTCCCCTTATGTCTCTGATGTCTTTCAAGCTGCCTCCCCCACACTGGAGCCTGCAGGGAGCAGGTCTGAGTAAGTCAGTGTGCGGGCCTTTTAAGAGAAGCTGCCTGCCCTGCCCTGCCCTGCCCTGGCCAGTTTGGCTCAGCAGTTGGAGGGTCAGCCTGTGGATCAAAGAGTCGCGGGTTCAGTTCCAGTCAATGGCATGTGCCTTGGTTGTGGTTCATTCCCTGGGCCTGTTTGGGGTCCCACGGGAGGCAACCAGTTGATGTGTTGTCTCTTTTGCATCCCCTCCCCTTTCTCTCCCTCCTTCTTACTCTATCTGAAGACAAACAGAAAAATATCCTTGGGTGAGGATTTTTTTTTTTTTTAAAAAAGGAGGAGCTGTCTGGAGCTCCAGCAGCCTCGGCCTCAATTCCTGCTGGTTTTTACAGCCAGAAGTGATGGGGATTCTTTTCCTGGCACTAGAACACTGAGCTGGGGGGCCTGGTGTGGGACAGGGACCCCTCACCCCTCAGAGAGGACCTTCACAGCTGAGGGGGTCCCTCCTAATTTTTATCTGCCACACGTAGGTATGGGACCAGCCTGTCCGTACTTTAGCCCCTCCTACCAGTCACGATGTGGCTTCTTCTTTAATTTTTTTTTTTTTTATCCTCATCCGAAAACATTCTTCCATTTTTTGTTCAGACAGAGTGGGAGGGAGAAAGAGGAAGAAAGAGAGAGAGAGAGATACATCAGTGTGAAAGGGACACATCCAGTGGCTGCCTCCTGCATGACCCAACCAGGTCCAGGAACAAACTGCAACTGAGGTACGTGCCCTTCGAAGGAACCAAACCCAGGCCTCTCTGGACCACAGGTCAGTGCTCTAACCACTGAGCAAAACTGGCCAGGGCTTCTTCTTTAATTTTGTAGTTGTAGGACTTCCATTCAGCTCGAATTCAGGCGGTTATGAATGATGGTTGTTCTGTAATTTAGTTGTAATTTTGATGTGGTTGTGGGAGGAGGCAAGTACTGTGTTTACCTACACTGCAATCTTGACAGGAAGTCCAGATCAAGGATATTTACTAAACATTTCTTTATTTAGTTCTTTATAATAGAGAGAAAGTTTTACCTAGTTTTAAGCTCTGAAGATAATTTATCATGAGATGTTTTATAAGAAAATGAAGTTATTTATTGCAATAATAAAAACAAAAATGATGTTTGGGATCTTTTCTTGTTTAAAACTAAAATATGTATTAATATCAGTATTTTTTAAGTTCAGAATTTCTCAAGCAAAAATCAGAGAGAGAGAGAACATCAACGTGAGAGAGAAACATCAATTAGTTGCCTCCCATGTGCACCCAACCAGGGATTGAACCCACAATCTGAGTATGTGCCCTGACCAAAATCAAACTTGCCACCTTTTGGTGTACAGAATGATGTTCCAACCAATTGAGCCAGACCGGCCAGGGTTTTAATATTCTTGAAATTTTAAAATGTCTAAATAGCCCAGTCGGTGTGGCTCAGTGGTTGAGCTTTGACCCATGTACCAAGAGATTGCCAGTTCAATTCCCAGTCAGGGCACATGCCCAGGTTGTGGGCCCAATCCCCAGTGGGGGGCATGCAGGAGGCCAATCGATGTTCTCTCTCATCGATGTTTCTATCTCTCTCCCTCTCCCTTCCTCTCTCTCTAAAAATCAATCAAGAAAAAAATTTTAATGTCTAAATATATTACAAAATATCAAGAAATACCATTTATAAAAACAAATGTTGCTATAATAAAAAAGAGATAAAAAAAGAGTGCTAGCAAGGATATGGAGAAATTGAAACCCTCATATCCTATTGGTGGGGATGTAAAATGGCGCAGCTACTTTGGAAAACAGTCAGTTCCTCAAGAAGTTAAACATAGAGTTATCATATGACCCAGAAATTCTACTCATATACATAGCCAAGAGAAGTGAAACCCTATGTCTACATAAAAACTTGCACACAGCCCTGGCCGGTTTGGCTCAGCGGTTAGAGCATCCGCCTCGGTCCGGAGAGACCCGGGTTTGGTTCCTGCTAAGGGCATGTACCTCGGTTGCAGTTTGTCCCCGGCCCTTGTTTGTCGTGTGGGTGGCAGCCACTTGATGTGTCCCTTTCACATTGATGTTTCTCTCTCTCTCTCTCTTCCTCTCTCTCCCTCCCACTCTATCTGAACAAAAAATAAATAAAAATTAATTAATTAATTAAGTACTGATATATGCTACAACATAGATGAACTTTGAAAATAATATCTTAACTTTTTTTTTTTATCCTCACCCGAGGATATTTTTCCATTTTTTGTTCAGATAGAGTGGGAGGGAGAGAGAGGAAGGGAGAGAGAGTGAGAAACATCGACGTGAAGGGACACATCAAGTGGCTGCCACCCGCACGACCAACCAGGGCCGGGGACAAACTGCAACCGAAGTACATGCCCTTAGCGGGAACCGAACCCGGGTCTCTCCGGACCGCAGGCCGACGCTCTAACCGCTGAGCCAAACTGGCCAAGGCTGAAAATAATATCTTAAGTAAAAGAAGCCTGTCACAAAATATCACATATTGCATAATGCCATTTATATAAAATGTCTAGAACAGGCAAATCTATAGAGACAGAAAATAAATTAGTAATTGCCTGAAGCTGGCAGGGCCAGGGGGAACGTTGGGTGATAGGGAGTGACTGCAAAAGGGTACAGGGCTTCTTTTTGGGATGATGAAAATCTTCTAAAATTTATTGTAATGATGATTGCGCAACTCTGTGAATATATTAAAAACCATTGAACTGTACATTTCAAATGGATTAATCATACATTAAATAATTTATATGTTAATAATGCTCTTATTTTGTTTTAAAAATCTATACCTACCAAAATAACCCTTAAAAAATGAAGGCCTCACACAAAAAAAGGCATACCTGGGAAAAAAATAAGCCTTAGAGAACTAATTGCAATCAGACTTGCTTTATGAGAAATAAAAGGATGTTTGTTAGGGTGAATAGAAATTGTAACTCAAACACCAGTAAAGGTAATTACATAGGAAAACATAAAATATAATATAAACATATTTTTCTTTTATTCTCAAAACTTCTTTATCAGATATCTGCATAAAGCAATAATTATTAAAGTATCATTAGTTTTAGGGGCAGATGGGCTGCCAGAAGAGCCCCTCACCCCCCCCAAAATATATCATTAGGTTTAGAATATATAAAGATATATTGTCCATGATGATAAGAGAACAAAGGAGGAGAGGAGAAAGGAAGCTAGCTATATTAGAACAGTTTTTGTATACTACCAGAAATAAATTAGCATTAGTGTGAAGTATGTTGTTTTAAGATGTATATTTTAATATCCAGAGCAACCACTAAGAAAATAATTCAACAGAGTAAATAAAGAGAATTAAAATGACACACTAGAAAATATCTATTTAAGGCAAAAGTAAGCAGTAAAGAAGAAATAGAGGAGAAAAAATACATGTGGCATACATATACAAAATAGCTGTAAGTATGTAATTACATTAATAGTATAACAAATAATTATATTAAATGTAAATTAAATAAGCACTACAATAAAAAATAAAAGATTATCAGGCTAGATTAAAAAACAGAATCTAACTATATGCTGTCTGAAATATGTATACTTTGGATCCAAGACACAAATAGTTTGAAATGATATGCTATACAAACAGTAACCATAAGAAAGCTGGAGTGGTTCTCCCAAGGCACAAATTTTCTATTGCTGTGTAACAAATTACTACAAATTTGGTAGCTTAAAACAATACCCATTCACTAGCTCACAGTTCTGTAGGTCACAAGATCAAGGCAGATTCTCTGACTAAGGTCTCAGAAAGCCAAAATCAAGATGTTGGCCAGGCTGCCTTCTTGATCTGAAAACTCTAAGGAAGACCTGCTTCCAAAAATAATAATAATAATCTGCTTCCAAGATTGTTGTAAAGTGTGTTAGAAATATATTCTCATCAAGGTGGCAGATCTGGCAGTTATGTTGTTGAGGATATGAACTGATATGCATATGTAAAAAGTAGTGGAATTTATGTGTAATTAAAGTGAAGGAGTTGTGGTGGTCATGGTTGGAGACGCAAGGCAGGAGATTGTGGTGGAAATGAGGAGGAGAATAGTAGAAGAAGGCACTGGGGAGTGAGTGTTCCTCTCTCCAAGGGTTTGAGGAGTTGACTGATAAGAGGCAAGTGTCTCCTTTGGAGAGCAGTCATCTCCATTAATTTTTAGAATGACAGAGATGATAGTAACCAGATTTCCCTTTAGGCATGGGAATGTAGGAGTGTACGTTTTAGCAGAGATCAAGGAGTATACCAGGATCATGGGATAACCAGATAGTAAACTCAGGAAACATAATAGGATTCCTAATCCCAAAGGTAGAAAAGCAGAAATGTCCTGTGTCCAATTTTATGCCTTAGGAGAGGCATTTGGGTGGAGGTCCATCACAGGGAATGAAGTCATTTCCAATGATGAGGTCTTAGGTTGGGGGATGTCCTCTGAGGCAATGTCATCTCCAGCAGCAAGCTCCTGGGTCATGACAATGTCACCTAGGATGTGGGACTTGGGGTATCCTTTTTAAGGGGATACCCACTCAAGTTGATATGGGTCTTAGCATTTGCAATGGCTTACTTGGAGGGTTGGGCCTCTGGACTAAACCAATGTACACATCCAGACCAGTGGTAATAAGACCATAGTTGCCAGAATAGTGTGAAGTTGCACTTGACAAGTTTCAGAGTTTTGGTGGCAGTTTAGGTTCAAATGAATCATACATCAGGAAGCAAGAGAAGAGCAACAGGTTACCTACAAAGGCTCTCAGCTGACTTCTCCACAGAAACACTACAGGTCAGAAGGGAATGGCATGAAGTGATCAAGGTCATAAAAAACAAGGATCTGAATCCAAGACAACTCTATCCAGCAAGGCTATCATTCAAAATAGAAGGTGAAATAAAGAGCTTCCCAGACAAATAGGTCATATATCAGATGAGTAACTGCCTGGCTTATGTGACAAACTACACTTAACAGGTTCTAGGAAAATATGCACCCTCAATCTGGCCTCCAGCCCTTATGGGACAAGGTCAAAATTTTATAAAGATAAGGTGTGGGATAAGATAGACACTCACTTAGGAGTTTATTTAGACTGAAATTTTTAAAGGGATTTAGGAGACCATTATGTCTCTTAGTTAAATGGGTTATTTAGGACCTATTAAGGACATGAAAGTTCTATTGAGTGTTTTCCCCAAGAGCCCACCATTATGTATTTTGAAACGTACACCTTGGTTACTATTAATAATACTTATAGCTCCAAAGGTAATGAGTGTCCTGGCAAGACCTTATATTGTGACCTTAATATATAGAAAGACATGTATGATTTTGTATTTTGAGTATCTGTGAGGCAAGAGATTCCCACAGTTCTTTAACCTGAAAGAGACCATTTTCAGGTAATGCCCACCAGTTTATAACAAATGTAAAAACGGTACCATCTGTTGGCTAGAGCATCCAGTGTTAAGATGACTGCATGAAAGTTGGCCAGGTGTGTTAATTTTTTGGGTGCCCTCCTCGGTTAGGGATATCCTGGCTAAGGGATGGAAGGCAGCAACATTCCACTTAGCTTAGTTAATCCCAGGAAGTTTCCTAGGCAGTCAAGGGTCTGGAGGAGGGATGGCTTCCTCTAGCACCATGGCATCCAGCAAAAGACTGAAGCCACCCTTCCTGCAAGAAGAATATGTCAGAGTGCCCAGGTTTGGTTGCATCCTGTTGTAAGAAGGACTTTGCAACCATGCCAAGTTTGTGTGGTCCTGTTTCCATGACTCAAAGCATAATGGGCAGCTGAATATTAACAGTCACAGACTCGGGGTATGTGAGAGCCTCTATTCTTAGGAAAGCTCAGTAGGTTGCTAGTCGTTTTTTATTTTAATGGTGTATAGCCTGAAGCTGAGACAGGTAGTTTTTTGCATCAGAAGTTCTTGGGCAACATACGACCAGCAGAAGTGGTCCAGAGACTCTGGAAGGTAATTTTATTTGTGGGTAAAATTTGTAAGTGAAGGATATGTTGTCTTTAGAACTCAAGAGCTAAAATATGTTGGATTTGTGTGTCCTTAATGAGTGTTTAATCAATCTCCTTGGAGGAGAATGTTATCCATGTACTGTCATACCTGTGCTCCTGGAGGAAGGTGGATGGAATTAATATCTTGTCTGTAAAGATTGTGTATGATGGCAGCCTGCTGAGGTTTCCCACTGGTACCTGGAGAAGTTATGCTATCTCCCTTCAGAGCTAAAGGCAAATTGCTGCTGAGAAGCTGTGAAAATAGATGCTGAACAGAAAATGATAGCCAAATCTATAAGAACAAAATATTTACCAGTTTCTGACAGAACAGAATTCATAATTTTGATAATACTGGCTATCTGGTATGGGGGACCACAGCATAAAAGTAGTAGTGATCCATCATGAGGAGAGGAGCACACACACACACACACACACATTTCACACACACACATTTTCTTCTCTCTCTCTCTTTCTCTCGCAATTTAAGAACAGGCAGAATCGGGTTATCAAATCAAGAAGTAATGGGAATAATCATCCTTTTATTAAATAAGTTTTATATAATAAGTTTTAATCCTCAATCTCCCTGTTTTAACTCATAGTGAGTCAGGTTAACTATTTTGACTAGGGGTCCATGGGGTCCCATTTCATTAAGCCAATTTCTAAGTGTCAAAGACTTACCTTAATTTTAATTTATTATTTATGTGCTAGACCATCTATGTCTAATATGGAATATTTTAGGATAATAGGTATTGTGACTTTGGAAAGACTACAGTTAGAGTGAGGCATACCCCTTTTTGCTTTACTTATATTTAGTTACCGTTCTAAGATTATAGGGGACACAATGTTTAAATCCCTATAGCTCTCCAGGTACAACTATAATTTGAACCCCATCTTGATTAAGTCTGTCAAGTTTTTGTTAATTGGTGTATTTTAACAAATATTAAGGTTAATTTAGAACCAAAGTTGTAGAGGCACAAAAGCCAACCAGCACTCTTTTTATCATTTTGTTATATAAATTCTTTACTATATAAATTTTGGATTTCCAATGGATCAATTATGGGACTTTGTGTGTGTGTGTGTGTGTGTGTATACACACACACACACACACACAATTTATTGTTATATATTTATATTAAAATATTATATATGTATACATAATTTATTTACCTTTCTTTTCTCCCCCTGTAACTAGGGGTTTGTGTTAAGATCAATAAGTAATCTAGTACCTGGCATTTGTTCAGTACATAAGGTTTAAAGTTTCCTTTTTTTCCCTTGGGCTTGTAGCCACCTAAAGTGACAGTCTTTTTCTCTTTCTCTTTTTCTTTTTCTTTTTCTTTTTCTTCTTCCTCTGTTTTAGGTTTGTAGCCTCCCACAGTCTCTACTGTTTGTCTATGGTTGATAAGAGAGAAAGACGTGAGAGTAAAGGGACCTTGTGCCTCTAGGCAACCTCTCCCTGGGACCATCCCTGTCCCCATTAAACTCTTTTTTCTTTTAGAATGGCTTATATTTCTAGGTGGCTAAATTCCTTCCCTTTGTTCCTTTTTATATTTACCTGATAAGCTCCTGGTGGTTTTCAGTGCCCTCTGCTGTGAGTGGCCTCAGAGGGATTGGGGTCTACATCTAGGAGAACAATGGTGTCCTCAGCTTTACCTTTTAAATTTTTTGTTTTGTGACCATTTGGTTTGAAGGAAGAGACTCTTAGCATGTCCACAGACAGCAGTATTTAAGTGTGCTCAAGCGCATTGACCTGAGGATTTGTATCTCAAATGAGCTGAGAAACCCCCTCTGGTGTTTTGGAAGGGAATGGGGGTCAAGGTGCCTCTTCCCCACCATACCCCCTTTTTATTAAATATGGAGCCACAGGTCTCCAAGGATGGAATCCTTTACATCCCACTTGGTCGGAGGACAAATTGTGACAGCAGCAAAGCAAGCAACAATAAAGAGATTTGCGTTCAAAACAATGGTTTACATTTGAGTGCCATGGTTTGCCATGAAGAGGGGGCACCCTGAGCTTTATCACTAGCAGATCCCTATAACTCACAGGGACCAACAGCTGACTCAGGCCAATGCCTTAATCACTTATAAGGAAGGGAGACTCTGGCAGGAAGCCAAGTGTCCACTGCTATCTTCAGCATTGGTGAGTCAGTTGATGAGACTCACACCTAACCTGATCTCATCAGACGAAGCCTCTCTTCATTCTCTTGAGGTGGGGGTGGGGGGCTTGGTCTTGTAAATTGTCAGATATCAATTGACTGTAATATAAGGATTCATTTATGGAATCTCCATTTCATTCCATTGATCTATGTTTAGTTCTATCTTTATGTCAATACCACTATAATTTTATAGTAAGTTCTAAAATATGAAAGTAAAAATTGTCCCACTGACCCCGGATGGTGTGGCTCACTGGTTGAGTGTCGACCCATGCACCAAGAGGTCACCAATTCAATTCCCAGTCAGGGCACATGCCCAGGTTGTGGGCCAAATCCCCAGTGGGGGGCATGCAGGAGGCGGCTAATAGATGTTCTCGCTCATCGATGTTCTATCTCTCTCTCCCTTCCTCTCTCACTTTAACATCAATAAAGAAAAAAAAAAAAATGTTGTTTTTTTTAATTCTTTCATTGACTATTTTTCAATGTTGTTTTGGCTATTCTGGATTCTTTGCATTTCCATATGCATTTTAAGATCATATTGTTAATTTCTGCCTCCCCCAAAAGAAAGGTTGTTGGAATTTTTATAGGGATGCCATTCAATTTATACATCAGTTTGGTGAGAATTGACATCTCAACAATATTGTCTTTCAGTTCATGATATGGAATTTCTCTCCATTTTCGTTGATCTTTAATTTCCTTCAGCAATGTTTTTATAGTTTTTTAAATTTTATCTTTATTGTTGAAAGTATTACAATGTCCTTCTTTTTTCCCCATTGACCCCCTCCTCCCTGCTACCGCCTCCCCCCACCCCTGCCTTCACTGCACTATTGTCTGTTTTTATAGTTTTTTTGTGTATGTCCTTCATTTTTTTGCTAATTTATTTTAAAGTATTTTATTCTTATGAACATGGGGGTACATATATTATTTCTGATTGGTGTTTCAGGCTTCTTAGGGTATATTCCTAGAAGTGGGATCACTGGATCAAATGGCAATTCAATTTTTAATTTTTTGAGGTAACACCATATTGTTTTCCATAGTGGCTGCACCAGTCTGCATTTAGCTAAGATCTGGAAACAGCCCAAATGTCCATCAGTAGACGAATGAATAAAAAGCTGTGAAACATATACTCAATGGAGTACTATGCAGCTGTAAGAAAGAAAGATCTCTTAACCTTTGAGACGACGTGGAGGGACCTGGAAAGTATTATCCGAAACGAAACAAGCCAAACAGAGAAAGACAAGTATCATATGATCTCACTTATTTGTGGAATATAATGAACATAACAGTCTGAGGAATGAGGTAGTCCCAGAGACGTGGAAGTGGGGTACAGACTGACAATCCCCAGGAGAGGGGGTGGTGGGAGAGAGAGAAACCACAGAACTTACATGCATGTATGCATGAACAATGAACATGGACAACAAAGCTGGGGACAGGTCGGGGAAGAGGGGGAATCAGTGGGAGGGGAGGAGAAACATCTGTAACAAAAATATACAAATTACAAAAAAATGTATTTCTCTCACATTGATGTTTCTATCTCTCTCTCCCCTCCCTTCTCTCTAAAAAAAATCAATAAAAACATATTTAAAAAAGAATCTCAGGTGAAGTGTTTATTTTTACTTTTTTTTTTTTTAATCCTCACCCGAGGACATTTTTCCATTTTTCACTCAGATAGAGCGGGAAGGAGAGAGAGAAAGAGAGAGAAACATCGATGTGAAAGGGACACATCGAGTGGCCGCCACCCACACGACCCAACCAGGGCCGGGGACAAACTGCAGCCAAGGTACATGCCCTTAGCGGGAACCGAACCCGGGTCTCTGTGGACCGCAGGCTAACGCTCTAACCACTGAGCCAAACCGGCCAGGGCTGAAGTGTTTTTTTTTAAAGTACTAAACTGAGCTTTTGGTCTCCAGATTTGTTCCCTCTAGCCCTCATCTTCTGCATTTTAATAGTCTACTATACTTGTTCAAGCCAGTAACACAGACATAATCTTTCTCGTTTCCTTATGTCCCACATTCCTCTGGTAAGCCCATCAGTGACTATCTCCACAGTCACCACCCTATTCCAGGCCATCACCATCTGCTGCTGTACTACACAATCCCTTCCAAACTGGGTTTCTGCTTGCACCAGTGCCCCCTCCAATCCATTCTCCACACAACAGCCAAAGTGATTTTATTAAAATTTAGATTATGTCACTCTCCTATATAACTTCTTTATTTGTGGTCCATTTTATGTGGAGTAAAAAACAAATTCTACCATCACCTGCAAAGGCCAAAAAGACCTGAACTTTGCCTATCTCTCTATCCTTCCCTGTTGTATTTACCTTGTTTCACCACCATTCAGCTACAGTAGCCTTTCAGTACTAGCATATAACAAGCTCTTCCCCACTCAAGGGGCCTATGTATACTTGTTTCCTTTGCCCAGAACCTTTCCCCAGTTCTCTGTAATGCTGGATTCTTCTACCTCCTTTAGTTCTCAGTGAAAACACTGCATTGATTGTCTACACATGAGGGAAATGGGCAGCAATCTGGTTAGAGCTGAAAAAGGGGACACCTAGGGAATTTGTCCCAAAGCTGCATTTGCACAGAAAACATACTATCTTTACTTAGATTAAATATAGATCAGCAAAAATGTCAGTTTTTACATTTAAATTTTTTTATTGATTTGAGAGTGAGAAAGAGATACTGACCTGCTGTTCCACCCATCTACGCATTCACTGGTTCAAACCTGAAACCTTGGCCTATCAGGGAAACACTAACCAACTGAGCTACCTGGCCAGGACATCAATTTTTTTTAATGGTTTTAGTCATACTTTATTTAATATTAAGAGAACATCATCTGTCCATAAAAGTTTGGAGTGCCTTGGGTAAAGTGGCAAGCAATTCCAAACAGGTTAGAGAGGCAGACAAGAACAAAAGAGGATTTTTTAAAATTATCTTGAAGGTGATGAGGGTCTATTTGCATCATTTCATTAGGGGCCAGACATAGCCAGACTCATGTGATTGAATGAAGAGAGAAAACACTGAAAAGCCAGTAAAATATAGTTATAATAGCTAACATTTACTGAACATTTAATGTGTTACAGGCATTATTCTAAGGGCTTTGCATTTATTCTAGTGCTTTATGTATATTAATTCATTTAGTCCTCACAATTAGCCAATGTGCTATTAGCATAGCCATTATAAAAATGAGGGGAAATAGCCCTGGCCAGTTTGGCTCAGCGGTTAAAGCGTCGGCCTGTGGTCCAGAGAGACCCGGGTTCGGTTCCCGCTAGAGGCACGTACTTCGGTTGCAGTTTGTCCCCGGCCCTGGTTGGTCGTGCGGGTGGCAGCCGCTCGATGTGTCCCTTCACGTCGATGTTTCTCTCCCTTCCTCTCTCTCCCTCCCACTCTATCTGTACAAAAAATGGAAAAATATCCTCAGGTGAGGATAAAAAAAAAAAAAAAAAAAAATGAGGGGAAATAACACAAAGAGGTTAAGTGGCTTACTCAATAATTACAAAGTGGCAGAGATAGTAAGTGGCAGAGATAAGATTCAAACCCAGAGGGTCCAGTTCAAAACTCATGCTCTTCATCAATATGCTTCAATGCCCCCCTTTTCTATAATTGATTAGGGCAATAACATAGGCTTGAAATTGCAAGGATCTGATACATGGCAAAAATGATAGAAAGGTGGATGTGAAAGCGATTTGGGAAATAAAACTGACAATGTGAGGGAACAACGTTGAAGCATAAGAGAGAGAGAGGAATCTAAGATGACTCTCAGACTTCTGACTAACTGGGTAGTTGTTGGTGCTGGTCATGAAGATGTAAAAATACAGAGATCTTGTCTGGTCGGTGTGGCTGTGGTTGAGCATTGACTCATGCACCAAGAGGTTGCTGGTTCGATTCCCAGTCAGGACACATACCCAGGTTGTGGGCCGATCCCCAGTGGGGAGGATGCAGGAGGCGGCCAATCGATGTTCTCTCTCATCTATGTTTCTATCTCTCTCTCCCTCTCACTTCTTCTCTCTCTAAAATCAATAAAGGGAAAAAAAATTAAATACAGAACTCTTGTGGGCAAGATATAAATTATTGGACACTTAATGCTTGATGTGCCTCTGTGACAAAAAGAATCGCCAGAAAGCAATCAGAGATACTAGTCTGGAGCTCAAGAAATAAATCTGGACTAGAGATGGAGATTTAGAGCTGTCAACGTAAAATAATTCAAACCTGTGAAGAATTTTTGTAAGTTTATTTGATCCAAAACTGCCGACAATTTCCAGGAAGCAAAATCTCAACGGATTGAGATCATGCTCCAGAGAATAGCAGTTTTGCACCTTATTTTATACATTACAGTCAAAAGAGGAGACGTAAGTGGGTTACATGAAATCTATTGGTGATATATTACAGAAGCAGCAGAAAGCAAAGCAGGGAAATCTTGGGGATTGGATAAAAAATAAAATGATAGACACATACATCTCTTACATAGTGGGTACAGGATAGTTAACAGTCAACAATTAACTTAATAACGATGAGGTAATTTGTGGTTCCTGCAGAGTGATGCCTGTGCTTTGAGAGATCTGGAAAAAGGAAAATTACTTTGGCATCCCAAAGATATGTTATCATTGATGCAAAAAGACAATAGGCAGGCTCAGTTAAGGTAAAGATTGACCTTTGTGAGGGAAGATGCCTGCCTAGAATATGACTACCTGTCATAAACTGCCTTTAGTTAAAAAGTTTTCATTTCAGACCATCCTTTGTGGTTACTTTAGGTTTTTGAGTTTGCAAGGCCGCCACACAGCCCTCCCTGAGCTTATCAAGTTAGCATGTGGTCCCTTTCCGTTCACAGAGTTCTCATGCAAGTCTTAAAGGCTTAGGAAAAACACGTGGAATAAACAAACAGGTTGAGAACACAACCTGGGGCGCATCATCATTTAGGAAGTAAGTAAGGAAAAAGTAGCCAGCAGAGAAGACTGAGGAATATGGTCATAAAACTAAGATACCAGGAGAGAGTGGTGTCATGGACGCCCAGAGTGGAGTTTCAACAAAGACAATATTGCAGTTAATCCAATTAGAGTGTAGGCTCTATGAAGGCTGCAACATGTCTGTTTTATTCACCAATACATCCCTAGTGCCTAGAAGCATGACACATAGTAAATGGTCAAAACCTTTTCCTGAATAAGAATAAGATAACAAACCAATAGTATCAAATACCACCAAAAGTTCTGGGAAGACAAAGACTCAGAAGTATCCATTTTATGTAACAACCTTGGGTGTCACTGATGATCTTGTCTAGAGCAGTTTCAGTGGAATGGTGGGTGAAGAGTAGCTTAAAAGAATCAATCCCAAGAATGTTTCATATATTACTTTGCTACTTTTGTTTCATCTAAAAAAGTTTTATTTTGTTTTGCCCTGGCTGGTTTAGCTCAGCAGTTAAGAGTGTCAGCCTGCGGACCAGAGAGTCCAGGGTTCAGTTTCCGCTAAGGGCACGTACCTCGAACCTCGTACCTCAGTTGCAGTTTGTCCTCGGTCCCGGTTGGGGTCGTGTGGGTGGCAACCAGTTGATGTGTCTCTCTCACATCCATGTTTCTCTCTCTCTCTTCCTCATTCTATGCAAAAATGTCCTCGGTGAAGATAAAAATAATAATAATAGCACAAACACATAGACATAGACAACAGTATGGTGATTGCCAGAGGGGAAGGGGAGTATGGGGGGAGGTGGGCAAAGGGGCCATAAAGAGGGACAGCCAGAAACCCCACTTTGGTCAATGGGCACATGATGCAGTATGCAGACAATGCCCTGTTAAGTTGTACACCTGAAATCTGCATCATCCTGCCAAACAATGTCACCCCAATAAACCCAACAAATAAATAAATAATGGCGCAGTTAATATGATATTGCAAAAATTGTGAAGCATAGTAAGTGAAAAGAGTCAGTGACCCAAATGTTTTCAGTCTGAACAAGTGGAAGAATAAAACCATATTATTGTCTGTACTTTTCTATGTTTGAAATATTTTATGATACACAAATGCTGAGAATAACTTTTAAAAATAAGGACTGTACATATAAGTTAAACTATTAATGGAAATATTTGGAGATTTTCAAAATTAGAATAATATTCAAGGAATGAGATACCAGAAAACACTGGTGGGAGTATATTAAAGGTAAAGATTAAATGCACTTTAAACTGTTTCCATAAAATTTTGTATCACAAAAATTATGTATGAGTAACGAAAAGTTTCTCAAAAGCTTATGGGAGGTGAGGAAGTTGCAGCTACCGAGAGTCCAATCTTGGGTGAAACTTTGTTACCTAGAGGAGGAATCTACAGAGTTGCACTGACAAGGGGGAACCGGCTGAAAGGGGATTTTTCTTGCAATCCCAGGGCCTTGGCACGAGACTGGCCAATACGCAGGTGTTCCTAAAGCTTCCAGCTAGCGGCAGACCGGGTCGCAGAACGCTGTCCACCCCTGACGGGAGCTGTGGCCTTTCCTTTTCGATCACGCAGGGACAGCGCAGCACCCTGGCCCTGAGGCTCCCTCGCTTTGGGCCGCTCGGAACCCAGGGGCGGAGAGGACAGCCCCGCGCGCTCGGCACGCAGGAGGGGCGGGCTGGGCGAGCAAAGCTCCGCCCGCCGACGAGCAGGAATTTCCAGGCTCCGGGGTTCCCGCAGGCCCCACCCGAAGCGTCACCGGTTCCTCGCAAGCCCGGGGCGGGCCGGAAATGACGCGACTTGTCGCGCGTGATTGGAGGAAAAAGAAATTGCTTTGCGGCCGGTACGGAAATTGCTTTCTTCTCAGCTTCCGCTCCTGGTCCATGTGAGAGACAGGCTGCTGAGATGAAGGTGATACGGCCCAAGGAGAGGTGAGTGGTAAAGACGGGTCGGGGAGTCTGGGTCTCGTTGGGGATCGGATTCTCCGGATTTTGAGATGTGAAAGCCGCTTTTTAATAAATGACACTTGTTCCCCTCCCGAGACTTCTCCATTCGTTACTGTTTCCATGATCCTTTCTTTAAAACCCTTTTAATTCAACTTAATTCGCTCCCTGAGCTCCCCAGTTTTGTAGCCTTATCCTTGCAATCCTGATGCGGCCTCTATGTCTCCAGCTAAGTCACTATGTTGCATTGCCCACGTCACGTGACTCCTTTTTCCTGCTGCTACTTCGGCGCGTTTCAGTCCTCTGCAGGCAGTGCCTGCGCTGTAAGCTCCCTTGTCTTGTAAACCTTTGCTGAATGGAGCCATCTAGGAAGTTTTGTCCATTGATGTTTCATCCCACCCACTAGGGAACTAGATACAATCCGTTTAGCGCAGCTTGCCTTTCGAAGACTGATACAGATGCTATAATTTGTTTCTTAGTACCCGTATTCCTTAGTTAAGCACCTACTTTGCTGAGCAAGCCTTGGGGAAAATAGATTACGCAGAAGCTTTCGTGCAATTCCATTTCCTCATCCCTGGGAACAAGCGATTAATATGACACTTCTGAGTAAGCTGCACCTATAAAGGTTTCTTCCATGTGGAGGATGCTTAGAAATATTAATGGTGAAACTGCCTTGTCTCAAGGGCCAGCAACAGCATCTTCTGCCACCTTACCTAGGGTCTGATTTTTTTTAATTGATTTTTTAGAGAGACAAGAAGGGAGAAAGAGATACAAGTATCCATGTGAGAGAAACATCTATCTGCTGCCTCCTGCACGCCCCCTACTGGGGATGGAGCCTGCAACCCCGGCATGTGTCCTGACGGGGAATCCAAATGGGACCTCTCGGTCCATGGGACGATGCGCAATCCACTGAGTCACACCAGCCCGGTTAGGGTCTGATATTTTTACAGCCTCCCATAGGTCAGTGGGAAATGCAGTGTCAATCATTGAAGAGTGTTAGATCTTTTTCATGCAGTTCTGTGTGGGTATCACCAGCCACTGCTCACCTCTTGTTATTTCCATTGATAATATTTCTCTTTTATTTTATTTAACAGCCTTCTGGCTTTGAGGGAACAGGAAGAACTAGAGGATTTGCCAAATGACTACCCCTCGAGCACCAGTGAAGATGAGGTGGGCAACAACTGCTAAACTGTCTTCTCCAGTTCCCTTCTGCCTCAAAATTAGAGTAGACAGCACGTTCCTAGAAAGGAAAGGGGGGTGGAAAAATTATTTATATTAGTTCAGGTCTTACAAATAAATTGCAACCAGTTATTTAGTGTTTCATGTATACAATACAGTCACTGTCTTCACATTGATTAAGTATCATTAAGTATATAAGAATAAAACATATGGTCCTTATTACAGGATTTTCCTATTTCCCAGATTTGGGTTTCTGTAGAGAGTTATTTAAACCTCTGACTGCTATATACATAATTAGGCTGGATCTTCCAACAGATGCTATAGGAATTCCAACTCTTGATTCTCTTGACAAAACTACTTAGAGTGATTTTTTTAATGTGAGAGTTTCTTTGTCAAATCACATTATATGTTATATACAAAAACACTCCCATAGCGTTTTTTCTTCCCAAAACAAGTTAAGACAGAAGTATAACATCAGCTCCCAGTTATTAAGACTCTATAGTGAAGGAGTTTGCTTTTTGAAGCAGTCTTTTCAGGCCTGCAGCCCAGACCTCTTCTGATTCCCCACTGACCAGAAGGTCTCTACTGACCAAAAGCACAGAGGTTTTATATGGGCTTCAATTTCCTTACTGTCTTTTCCCTCCCCTCATCATTCTGATAGTTTTTTTCCTTTTCTGTGTCTAGGGGGACAATGGTGGAGAGCGAAAGCATCAAAAGCTTCTGGAAGCAATCAGTTCCCTTGATGGAAAGGATAGGTAACATTCCCGTCATTTGGACAAGTTATAACTAGCTGACTCCGTGAGATTTATCTGCAACTAATATTCATTGAGTGCCTAACACAATGAAGACACAAGTGCCAGCATCATTAAGAGCACATACTTTGGAGACAGACTGCATAGGCAGATTTTGTGTCCTCTCTACACCTCAATTTCTTCAATTAGAAAATAAGATTAATAATGGTACCTACCATATAGGGTTGTTGTGACATTTAAGTGAGTTAATAAATGTAAAGGTTTTAAACTAATGCCCAGCATTTCGTAAAAATTATGTAATTATTAGCTATTACTGTGTTAGACCTCTGTGCATATGAATTCTTACTGAATCCACTTACATTTTTGAAGCATTGAGTAGGCACTACTTAACCCCATTAGAGAAGTTAATTGACTTGTCCCATAGTCACTCTGCCCATAAGTGGCAGATCCAGGATTCAAATCCAGGTACATTTGAATCCAAATTTGTGTTTGTATTGCCTTGTGTTTTTGAGGGGCTGAGTCTACATTAAGAGATGGTTAGCCTACCAAGTCCAGGTTAGGAACATATTTTGTAGTTGCTTTGTGACAAAACTCTAGAAGATAAATACATGAAACCAAAGCCTTATTTGCAGACAGAAGTATTTGTTCCCCAGCAAAATGTGACTATTCCTTCTATATCTTGTTTTGCCTAAATTTCAGGCGGAAATTGGCTGAGAGATCTGAGGCTAGTCTGAAAGTGTCAGAGTTCACAGTCAGTTCTGAAGGTAAGTTAACAAAGGAAGCTATCTGTGCATGGAGCTTATGGAGTTCCAAAAGTATAATTGTCTCTTCATCACCACCCCACCCAGGAACTGTTTTTGATGTGATCAGTGGGTCATACTTTAAACATTTACATGTAAGTGGGTGAAGAGGGGTAGTCAGATGCCCTTGAGTTTCTTCCATTTCTAGAAGGCCATGGTCAAGGTCTCCCACTGAGTTTGTTGAGCTACTTCTAGGATAGAGGGACATAAATGAAGACAGCTGCCTCTCATTAGCTTAATCATATTCATTTTATTTTTATTTCCATTCTCACAGTGCTTTGATTCCCACATGCAGATAATTTCTCCTGATGGAGCTTGAGTAAGTCAAGTTACTTACTTGAGGGCCTTCACCTAGTACAGTGTTTCTCAACCTTTTCTCTTTATTGCTCCACTGAGGAGCCTTCTTAAACATTTTGTTATTTCATGCCTCCTTCCCTCCCTCCCCATCTGGGCTAGGAAGTCAAATACTAAGGGATGGTTGAGTTTCAGAGAAACACAAAACTTTATAATATCTAAGATTCTTTTCACACACTCCCCCAAGAATCAATTTTCACCCCCTGGGTGGGGGAGTAATATCACACCTGTTGAGAATTCATGGCCTAGTAAATGGCAGAGTTGGAGTTTCAACCTGATACCAAGTCTAAATGCCAAATCTTTGCCACCCTATTCACAACTTAAGCAGCTTAAATGAGTTACATTCTTCTGGTAACTACTAACTGTAACTTCCCAGAACAAGTAACAATGTATTCTCCCAAGCTAATTCATTCAGCAAATACTTACTGTGCTTCTACTATGTATCAGTTTCAGAATAGTTTAGAGCAGCGAAGGGGTACCGCAAGAGTTTTTAAAACATACAGAACAAACTATTTAGTCAGGGGCACTGAACGATTTTCCCTTAGATTGTCAAATTTAAAAAACTGACAATAGACAATACAACAATAGCCATCCAGAGTGAATGAATCAAAATTACATCTTTTTTTTTTTTTTTTTTTTTTGTCAGATCGGCACAAAATATGTTTTTTGGTGTGCCACAGCATTTTTTTTTTAAGGTTTTGTTTTTTTTGTTGTTGTTGTTTTTTTGTCTTTTTAATTTTTTTCCCTTTATTGATTTTAGAGAGAGGGGAAGGGAGAGGGATAGAGAGATAGAAACATCAATGAGAGAGAACATCGATTGGCTGCTTTTCGCATTCCCCCCACTGGAGATGGGGCCCACAACCCTGGCATGTGTCCTGACCAGGAATTGAACCAACGACCTCTTGGTGCAGGGGTCAGCGCTCAACCACTGAGCCACAGTGGCCGGACCACAGCATTTTAGTAATTAGTTTATGTGTGCCATGAGGTGAAAAGGTTGAAAATCACTGTTTTAGATATCGGGCTGTAGTAAAAAATAAGACACTGATCTCATGAGGCTTACATTCTAGTGGGACGTGGAGACAATAAGAGAATTAGAACAGGATGATGCAATAAAGTGACTAAGTGGCTGCTTTAGTTTGGCTGGTCATGAAAGGTCTCTTAAGAGGCAAAAAGCTGCCCTGGCCAGTTTGGCTCAGCGGTTAGAGCGTCGGCCTGCAATCCAGAGAGACCCAGGTTTGATTCCCGCTAAGGGCCCATGCCTTGGATGCAGTTTGTCCCTGGCCCTGGTTGGTCGTGCGGGTGGCAGCCACTCGATGTGTCCCTTTCACATCGATGTTTCTCTCTCTCTCCCTCCCACTCTATCTGAACAAAAAATGGAAAAATGTCCTTGGGTGAGGATTCAAAAAAAAAAGGAGGCAAAAAGCTGAATGACAAGAAAAACCAATCATGCAAATGGGAAGGCATTCCAGGCAAAGTAACAGCTAGTACAAAGGCTCTAAGGAAGAAACAGACTCAGCATGTTTGAAGAATAGGAAGAAGGCTAGTGTGACGAGCATAATGGAGGTGGGGATGACATAACGTTGGCATGACACACCATGATCCTATATAGGGACCAGATCCCATAGGGCTATGTCCTTTAGATCAATGTAGTCGGCCTTCTGTATCCTTGGTTTTCACAGCATTACCTTCAACCAACCATGGATTGCAAATATTCCAAGAAGAAGAACCAGAACGTTCCAAAAAGCAAAGCTTGAATTTGCCACACACCAAGCAGTAGACTGAATCCATGAGAATAAAGCAAGGCATACCCTGCTGTAGTCTATATGCAAAATATACATTACATGCAAATATACCATTTTATGTAAAGGACCTGAGCATCCTTAGATTTTGGTATTTGCAGGGGTCTTGTAACCAAACCATCATGGATACCAAGGGATGGCTATAATTTCAAATATAATGGGAGCCATTGGAAGATTTTCGGCAGGATCATGATATGCTGTGATTTGCATTTTCAAAATATCACTTTGGCTGCTGTGTGAAGAATGAATTACAGTGGGGCAACAGTGAAATCAGAAGGACCAAGAGAAAAGCAAATGACTTTTTAAAATAATTTGTCTTCTACCCTCCAACACGTGAGAATGTAGGAAAGTGATGGTGTCACTATGGCTAGCAATTGAAGTAAGAGAATTATTCCTGCTTCCCTGCCGGTCTGCCAGCATTTTCTACTTAGGCATCTACCTATGTGATAATTGAGATTTTGCCTCATTTCTCAGTCTGACCAGAAAGTTTGCCCTTTCTACAGGATCAGGAGAAAGGCTAATCCTTTCAGATCTGCTTGAGCCCTTTAAAACATCATCCACATTGGCCACTGTGAAAAAGCAACTGAATAGAGTCAAATCAAAGAAGACTGTGGAGTTACCCCTTAACAAAGAAGAGATTGAGCGGGTAAGTTTTAAAGTGTCCATTAAGGGAAAGAAATTGAACTAACCAGGAAAAACAGGATATGAAGAGAAGAAGGGGGAAAGCCTCACAAATGGGAGGGGAAGTTGTGACTGCCTCACCATGGAGAAGATTAAAATTAATCTCAGGGTCCGGCTGTTGTGGCTCAGTGGTTGAGCGTCGACCCATGCACCAAGAGGTCGCCGGTTTGATTCCCAGTCAGGACACATGCCCAAGTTGTAAGCCCAATCCCCAGTGGGGGGCGTGCAGGAGGCGGCCAGTCGATGTTCTCTCTCATCGATGTTTCTATCTCTCTCTCCCTCTCACTTCCTCTGTGAAAATTAAAAAATTTTTTTTAATCTCAGGGAAAGTGCAGTCTTGAGAAGGAAGCAACAGCTAATCTCTAGCATCCTGATTCTTCCTTGGGCTAAGAAACATTGCCTCCTGATTTCCCACTAGTCCTTTAAGTTTGATGCCCAATTTTGTGGCTCTTTTTTGTACCTTGCGTGTTTCAGATCCATAGAGAAGTGGCATTCAATAAAACCTCACAGGCCCTCTCCAAATGGGATCCCGTTGTCCTGAAGAACCGACAAGCAGAGCAGCTGGTGTTCCCCCTGAAGAAGGAGCAGTCAGCCTTTGCTCCCATTGAACATGTACTCAATGGCTGGAAGGTAAGTGCGACACAAGGAAACCGCACCTTGGAAAATAAGATTGTGCAATGTGGAAATTGCAGGGTCTGTAGTTGATTTGGTTGGACATGTTAAACTGAAATTTCAGCTGCAACCATTATAGTTTATCAGTCAGAAAGGGAGAGAAGGGGGTAGCAAGATTCGTTGTCAGTCATGCAATACGTACCAGTCACAGTGGTTCTGTAGTTGTTTTTCATCAGTTTGTAGCATACAGTACATGGTTATTTCTGTGTTTTTGTGTTAAAACATCCAGTTGCCAGTAGAGAGGAAACATGCTTTCTTTTTCACACCCATTTTTAAAAAGCTTTCAAAGCCACATTTTGATCTGGGGAAAATCAGAAACTCAGCAGCATCACAGATGCCTCAGTGGGGGGATATATGAACTGCAGACCCAAAGTTTGCTTGTAAAGGAATATCATATTAAAATATAACATTGCTGATAATGACTAAAATCTTAGCAAGTAACTTATTAAGACTGAGCTGCAGAAAATTTTAAAAAGCTATTTAGAGCTGAGTTTCCCAAACACTAATCCCTGGCAAATTTTTTGTCCATCTAAAGCCAAAAGATAATAGTAAGTATGGTGGGTGTGAGGTTGTCAGCTCTTTATTATGAGGTTATTCTTTCCACTTGAATGATGTTGAAATAGCTTTTCTTTTATGAAATGATGGTGATACTAAATGATGGGGTTGGGGATGGAACAGTAGTTATACCCTTGGCAAAATTAAGAGTTGGTAATCCTACGTGGGTCCCTAAAGTCTCAAGATTTTTATTTTTATTTTTTACTTTTGTCTGTGAAAAACATGCTTCAGAACAGCTAGCCTTTCTTTTCCAATACACCACTGGTTATGGGTTCTGTAATGGGATGTTCTGTCTTAAGTTAAAAAAAAGGCAAGAACAGCAGTGCCCAAACCATGGGCAGATTGCCCTCTTTATGCTTTTCTTCTGCTTTCTAAAAATCCTTCTACCCTCCAACACATGTGAGAATGATTTTTTTTTTCTAAAAATCCAGGGATGATAGTGTCCTGTGTGTCAGGGACTTGAAATAATTAAGCTAATCAAAGTAAACATGGCTTGCCACCATAGCTATAAATTGAGCAAGTGGTTGCTTATTGTGGGGATAAGCTCTGTTTCTGCCATTCTCTTTCTAGGATGCTTCCTTTCCACATGAAAAAGAGATCAGGTTTAAAGTGTGGCTGCAGGATGGAAGGGAGACTTTAGGAAAAAAATTAAGAGGTAATATAATTTGCAGAATAAAAGTATAGACAATATATAGTGAAAGGTCTGACCCAGTCTGACCATTTTTACCCCCATACTCACCCAGATGTAACCATTTCTATAAGTTTTTTGTTATTGTTAACTTAAGAGTTTTACTGATATATTTGTGTTTCCCTTGTATTTATCACAAAAGTAGTACGCTATTGCACACTCTTCTGCACCTTGCTTTTTCAAATGACAGTGTAAGCTTGGCGATCACAAGAAAATATTAAATTTGTATTAAGGATGAGATGGAGACGAAGGTTGCACTAATAATGCACCTCTACTCTCCAGGAACTCCCTGTGCAAGGCAGAGTGGCCCAGAGACTATCCATTGAATCTTCTGGACTGTTCATGCCAAGATTCATTTTTGAGAAATGACGCCAGTGTGGCACAGAGAAATAAGAAAATGCTTAGGTCAGGGGGTCTGTTCTAGCTAGCAACTCCCAGTTTTCATATTACAACTTAAGAGTACAAAGTACCAAGTACTAGTAATATACTAATACTTCTGGAAATTAAGAATACAAAAGTAGCCCTGGCTGGTGTGTCTCGGTTGAGCGCCGTCCCATGTACTAAAAAGTCACTGATTTGATACCCGGTGAGGGCACATGCCCAGGTTGCCAGCTCAATCCCTGGTCGGGGTGTGTGCAGGAAGCTGCTGATCAGTGTTTCTCACATCGATGTTTCTCTCTCCCTCTCCTTCCTCTCTCTCTAAAATCAATAAAAACATAATAAAAAAATTAAAGAGCCCGGCCCACGTGGCTCAGGGGTTGAGCGTTGACCTATGCACCAGGAGGTCGCTGGGTTGATTCCCAGTAAGGGCACATGTCCAGGTTGTGGGCCCGATCCCCAGTGGGGGCATGCAGGAGGCGGCCAGTTGATGTTCTCTCATCAATGTTTCTCTCTCTCTCTCTCTCTCTCTCTCTCTCTCTCTCTCTCTCTCACTTCCTCTCTCTAAAATCAATAAAGAAAAATAAATTTTAAAAAAAAATTAAAGAAAGCCAGTCAGAATGGCTTAGTTGGTTGAGTGGCTTAGTTGGTTGAGCATCATCGTGTGCACTGAAAGGTTGCTGGTTTGATTCCTGGTCAGGGAACATACCTGGGTAACAGATTCGATCCCATTGGGGATCTAACCCAGAGTATACAAACTAATGTTATTAAATATAATATAAATTCAATTTTAAACTTTTTTTAAAAAAATGAAATCTTGTGCGGCCGGTGTGGCTCAGTGGTTGAGCATTGACCCATGCACCAAGAGGCCGCCAGTTCGATTCCTGGTCAGGGCATATTCCCAGGTTGTGGGCCAAATCCCCAGTTGGGGGCATACAGGAGGTGGCCAGTCGATGTTCTCTCTCATCGATGTTTCTGTCTCTCTCCCTCTCCCTTCCTCTCTCTCTAAAATCAATAAAGAAAAAAATTGAAAGGAATTTCTAAAGAAAAATAGAAATGAAATCTTGTTAGCTGATGAGGAACATGCTTTGGGAAGAGCTAGTCTCCACTGCTTCTGTGGTCTCTTATCTTCTTTCCCTACTGCCCTACTAAAACTTCTTTTAAAGGCCATTGACCTCCTAGTCACCACATCCCAAGCCCTCTCAGTTTTCAGCCAGTTTGACAGTATTGACACATTTCCATTGTTAAGAACTCTTCTCTTGGCTTCTGTGACATACTCCTGATTTTTATCTATCTGACTTTCTTAGTCCTTTTTATTCTTTCTCTGTGAATTCCGTGACTTTTGACTATCATCTGTGTATGCTACAGATCACTCAACCCCTTCCTTCTGAGCTCCAGTCTCAGGTCCCATATGATTGGGCCTCACCTAGTTCTCCCTTATGCATCTTAAACTTCACACACAACAAAGTAACCTGGCATTTTCCTTCCCTAGACTCCCAAACCTTGTACTACCACCTTCATTCTGTAACTCCATCAACAGCTTAAGTCCATGCCTCAGCCATCTGACTTCTCCTTCTTCCACTGACTCTCCTCCCCAGCCCAGACAGTGAGCTAGTTTGTAAATTCTGTCTCTGTAATAGCTCTCAGATCCCTGGTTCCTCTTCTAATTTTCATTTTCACATTTGATTTGCCATTTTGCTTACAGGATGGGGCAAAAGTACATTTACAGTTGTTCACATGGAATATAAGAATAAACTGTAAACCTACTTTTGCCCCACTCTATATCCCCTTACACAATCACCAGGATTTTCTTTCTGAAACATAAAACTAATTGTCCTGCTTAAAATCCTTCAAAAGCCCTGGCCAGTTCGGTTCCCACTAAGGGCGCATACCTCGGTTACAGTTTGTCCCCAGCCCTGGTTGGTCATGCAGGAGGCAGCCACTCGATGTGTCCCTTTCACGTCGATGTTTCTCTCTCTCTCTCTCTCTCTCTCTCTCTCTCTCTCTCTCTCTCTCTCTCCCTCTCCCTCCCTCTCCCTCCCTCTCCCTCCCCCTCTCTCCCTCCCCCTCTCTCCCTCCCTCCCTCCCTCTCTCTCCCTCCCACTCTATCTGAACAAAAAATGGAAAAATGTCCTCGGGTGAGGATTAAATAAATAAAAATCCTTCAAAAGCTCTCCACTTATAGAATGAGACAGCACCTATCATTTTAGCTACACTGGACAACACATTGTTCCCTTACACACTTCTCCTTTCCATATATTTGATTTTGTTTATACTCATCTCTCCACTTGGCCCTCTCCTTTACAGAATTGAACTTATACCTCAAAGCCTAACTCAAAAAGTAAGTCTCTTCCTTCCCCAAGCTTAACCCACCCCCTGATAAGAATTAATTGTTCCTCTGTGATTACTCCCATGGACTAACATTTACCCCATTATGTTTGTGATGCATGTGTTTCTTTCCTCTGAAAGGCTGTGAGCTCTATGAGGACAGGAATTATCTTAATCAGTTGTGTATTCTAGCACCTTCTACAAATACCTGGAGTGTAGCAGCAATCAATAAATGTTTGTGAATTGAATTGAATTGGAGGAAGATTACAATGCTGTAATATAAATCACTTCATAGCCTGTGATTGATCACTACCACAAATACTAAAAATGGAAGAACATGTACTTTTACTATTCAATAGAATAGGTTTATGGTTAAATCAATAGCAGTGTGTAATGTATGATGATGTGTGTTTATGCATTTGTCTAGATATTTACATAGATACTGACCATGATGTATATGGCTGTTGAAGAAAACCACATATAAAGTGTGTATGAGGTTTGAAATGGCTCTGTTGCCTAGGGCTATCTTTGTGCCTTGCCAAAATAGACCGCGTCATGATCGGCCTGATTATTTATTTTAGCCATCTTCACATTATCAGTCAAGCAGTAAATGAGGACTTTGGCTGACATATGAAGTAACTCATTCACAGTCCATTCGTTTCATGCATGTAGACACTACCTAGCATACAAAGTTAACTGGAAACTGAGGAACTAGAGCCAAAATTAGAAGGTGACTAGAATTAAATTTGAACTGTCAGGAAGCAGGCTAATTACATGAAGGTCATTTTTTAAAATATAGTTTTATTGATTTCTAGAGAGAGTGGAAGAGAGAAGGGGAGAGAGAGAGAGAGAAACATCTATCGGCTGCCTCCTACACATCCCCTACTGAGGATGAAGCCCACAACCTGGGTGTGTGTCCCTACCAGGAATCAAACCGGTGACCTCTTGGTGCATGGGTCAACACTCAACTACTGAGCCACACAGGCCGGGCTGATGGTCATATTTTTAAAGGCAGTGCCTTTTTGTGCTCATCCTAGACCTGATCTCCCCTTTCCTCTAGAAATATTTTATTTTTAAAAGGAGCCTTATATGAAATCTGAGATTACTAACTATACTGTACACATAACAATACAGTGACCATTCTGTTTTGCGACTGATATTTGGTACTGCTCTTCCTCTGTCCTGCCAACATTTACCTCAAGGGCATCCTGCTTCGATTCTTAAGAGAATGACATTCTGTTTTACATATGTTAATAATTTGAACACAGAGTGATACTGTCAGTAATATTAGAGAGTAGCCTGAGAATCCCCTTGCAGAAGTTGTCTTAAATCAGAGTGAGATAAGGCTTTATCTGCACAGCTGGGCAGCAAACCTGGAACCCCTTCTCTTGCTGTAACAGTCAGTCCTGTCCAGTTAGTGATTCCAACTATGGTGTTAAAGTAGATGGTCATAAGGCTGGAAAGAGGGAGACTGTAGGAGCATGGCTTAAGACTCAGAATGTTTGTTACCTCTTTAAGGCAAGAACTCCCTTGGAGCAGGAAATTTTTAACCTCCTCTATAAGAATAAGCAGCCAGTGACAGACCCTTTACTGACTCCTGTGGAAAAGGCCTCTCTCAAAGCCATGAGCCTGGAAGAGGTAAGTGTGATAGGCCTTTTATACACCCAGGCAGAGTCTGTTTCTCCCAGCATTTTCCCACAGTCCCAGGAGTCACTGTAAATCTCATTCATTGTAGGCTAAGATGCGCCGAGCAGAGCTTCAGAGGGCCCGGGCTCTGCAGTCTTACTATGAGGCCAGAGCTCGAAGAGAGAAGAAAATCAAAAGCAAAAAGTAAGGAGATATACCTGAAACCCATATAATTTTATTAACCAATGTCACCCTAATAAATTCAATAGAAAAGTTAAAAAAAAAAAAAAAAGGGTAGAGAGACCCATCCTAACTAGCCTTGGGTTCCACAAAAGAAAGTGAGGTGGAAAGAACCTTTGACATGGCATTTGGAGTCACACAGAAGAGGTCATAAATAGGAATGACTAGTCTTTTTTTTTTTTCCTCAGTCCAACCTCATAAAAGTTCTGACTGCTTCATCAGTGCCCTCTCCACTGGCTTTGGCTTTCTGTCTTGGTGTTCCTAAAAAGAGGACTGTGCAATTACTTTCTTTCCTTTCCAGGGCATGATGGAGTGATTCTGCAGAATGAGCTCTGAATTCTACAACTGTTGAGGCCAGCAGGGCTTCCTTCTTACCTTTTTGCCTCTTTGGAATGTGTTCTATTCTTCCTTGCACTGTAGAAGCAGAGGGACCCTTTGCTCTACAGAGGTCTACCCCTGTGGCCTGCAAGGACTGAAATGCCTACCAGTGCTCTTAGGTCCCATACTGACTCCCTCTAGTCAGCCAGCTCTGTGACATCCATTCTGACCTCTGCATAGGAAAACCCCCTTGGGTAGTGGGGACACTTTGGTGTGTGGCATCAGTGTTTCCACTAAATCTCTTTCCTTGTTCCCCTCTCATTACCCTATAGGTATCACAGAGTTCTGAAGAAAGGAAAGGCTAAGGAAGCCCTAAAAGAGTTTGAGAAACTGCGGAAGGTCAATCCTAATGCTGCACTGGAAGAACTGGAAAAACTCAAAAAGGCCAGAATAATGGTGAGGCTGTCTCTTACCTTACCCCTTGAACCAACTTTCCCCAGAAAGCAATAAGGATCTTACTCTGCCCTTTCTTCTCAGGAGCGAATGAGCCTTAAGCACCAGAACAGTGGAAAATGGGCAAAATCAAAGGCAATTATGGCCAAATATGACCTGGAGGTAAGAGACCATCAGGATGAGAGAATAGGTGGAATTGGAGGAAAGAAACAGAGTTGGGTAAGAGCCATGAGAATGAATGGAAAACCAGGATCTAAAAAGGCATCAGAGAATCTCTAAGGCAGAAAGGAAAATGACCGGGAACAAAGTGGACAAGGAGAGACGAAAGGGGAAAGACCACAGAAGGCAAGTCCAGTTAAAGAGGAGAGGAACTTTTTTTAAAAACCATGTTTCACATGTTGATTCCTTGAGGACAAAGAATTTGCCTTCCATTTTATTCCATATCTAGTATCACGATGGTATGTGTGCAGTTTAAACAGTAGGCACCAGTAAGAAATACTTGTCAAATTGAGGGGACTCAGCTTTAAGAAATGGACCAGGAAAGGTGTTATTGTGATCACTGATGACAAGGCACACATGCTGGAATTCCTTCCTCCAGGCTCGCCAGGCTATGCAGGATCAGTTGGCCAGGAACAAAGAACTGACGCAGAAATTCCAGGTGGCCTCCGAGAGTGAAGAAGAGGAGGGAGGTACAGAAGAAGAGGGTGACCTCCTTGTCCCTGATGTAGTAAATGAGGTACAGATGACTTCAGATGGACCAAATCCCTGGATGGTCAGGAATCACTCTGGTGGTGAAAAACAGGCTGAAATCCAGAAGGACCCCGAACAACTTCCAGAGCCTGTGGCCAACGAGGCTTCTGAAAGTGAGGGAGAAGAAAGCCCAGTGGCAAAGGAAGAAATTTTGTTGAAAGAATTTGAGGAAAGGCGATCACTTAGTAAAAAGTCTGGGCTCAACCAGGATGCCAAGCCAGTGGGCAGACAAGAGACAAAAGGTGAGTTGTAGTAGACCAGAAGGAGGAGCTTAGTGCAAGTGCTACAGACCAACTGTGAGAGGAAGACCATAGCCACCCACACACACAGCAGAATGATGAGGCTCTAGGGACTTTCAAGAAAGTGCCCTGGATCCCTAAAGAGAAAATAGATTATCATAATTACCATTTTCTTTCAAAGGCATTTAATAAGCAGTCATCTGCATGGCTATACAATGTGGGTTCTAATAAGCTTTCTACTCTTGAGGGCTTATAGTCTTCAGAAAGACAGAACTACACCATCCTTGAAGTCAAGGTAGGGGTTACCATTGCTGGTACCCAAAAACCAGAGAGAAATGCACATGGTGGGATGGCAGATCTGAAAATCATTCACACCCACAGACATAGGTGGATTTTGAGCCATTATGAAGCATCTTCAAATTATGGCTGCAGTGTGCTGTTTTGTTTGTGAACTAGAAGTGGCATTTTTTTTTTTTTTATTAATTAATTTTTGTTACAGATGTTTCTCCTTTTTCTCCCACTGATTCCCCCCTCCCCCTCCCCCCCTGCCCTGTCCCCAGCTTTGTTGTCTATGTCCACTGTTCATGCATACATGCAAATAAGTTCTGTGATTTATCTCTCCCCCACCACCCCCTCTTCTGGGGACTGTCAGTCTGTACCTCGCTTCCACGTCTCTGGGACTACCCCATTCCTCAGACTGTTATGTTCATTATATTCCACAAATAAGTGAGAACATATGATACTTGTCTTTCTCTGTTTGGCTTGTTTCACTTAGGATGATACTTTCCAGGTCCCTCCATGTAGTCTCAAAGGATAAGAGATCTTTCTTTCTTACAGCTGCGTAGTACTCCATTGCGTATATGTACCACAGCTTTTTTATCCATTCGTTTACTGGACACTTGGACTGTTTCCAGATCTTAGCTATTGTAAATAGTGCTGCTACAAACATGGGGGTGCATATATTTTTTCCGATTGGTGTTTCAGGCTTCTTAGGGTATATTCCTAGAAGTGGGATCACTGGGTCAAATGGCAGTTCAATTTTTAATTTTTTGAGGTAACACCATATTGTTTTCCATAGTGGCTGCACCAGTCTGCATTCCCACCAGCAGTGCACTAGAGTCCCCTTTTCTTCACACCCTCGTCAACACTTGTTGTTTGATGATTTGTTGATGGCGGCCATTCTGACAGGTGTGAGGTGATACCTCATTGTTGTTTTAATTTGCATCTCTCTGATGATGAGTGATGATGAGCATTTCTTCATATGTCTCTTAGCCATTTGTATGGCCTGTTGGGAGAGGTGTCTATTTAGTTCCTCTGCCCATTTTTTAATTGGGTTCTTTGTCTTCCTTTTGTGGAGTTGTATGAGCACTCTATATGTATTGGAAATTAACCCCTTATCTGATATGTCATTGGCAATTATGCTCTCCCATACAGTGGGTAGCCTTTCCGTTTTGATGATTGTATCTTTCGCTGTGCATAAGCTTTTGAGTTTGATGTAGTCCCATGTGTTCCTTTTCTCCTTTGTTTCTATTGCCTTAGGTGATGTATCAGTGAAAATTCTGCTGCATATGATGTCTGAAATTTTGTTGCCTACAGTTTCTTCTAGGATTTTTATGGATTCATGAGTCACATTTAAGTCTTTTATCCATTTTGAGTTTATTCTTGTGTAGGGTGTAAGTTGATGGTCTAGTTTCATTTTTCTGCATGTAGCTGTCCAATTTTCCCAGCACCATTTATTAAAGAGGCTGTCCTTACTCCACTGTATGCTCTTGCCACCTTTGTCAAAAATTAATTGAGCATATTGCCTTGGGTCCATTTCTGGGTTCTCTGTTCTGTTCCACTGGTCTATATGCCTGTTCTTGTGCCAGTACCAGGCTGTTTTGATTACAGTGGCTTTGTAGTATAACCTGAAATCTGGTAATGTGATCCCTCCAACTTTGTTCTTCTTTTTCAAGATTGCTGTGGCTATTCGAGGTCTTTTTTGGTTCCATATGAACTTTTGAAATACTTGTTCTAATTCTGTGAAGTATGCCGTTGGTATTTTGATGGGGATTGCGTTGAATCTATAGATTGCTCTGGGTATTATGGACATTTTAATGATGTTAATTTTTCCAATCCATGAACAGGGTATGTGCTTCCACTTATTATATCTTCCTCTGTTTCTGTTTTCAATGACCTATAGTTTTCTGTGAATAGGTCCTTTACTTCTTTGGTTAAGTTTATTCCTAGGTATCTTAATTTTTTTGCCACAATGGTAAATGGGATTTTTTTCTTAGTTTCTCTTTCTGTGAGTTCATCATTGGTGTATAAGAATGCCATCGATTTCTTGATGTTAATTTTGTATCCTGCTACTTTGCCAAATTCATTTATTAAGTCTAGTAAATTTTTGATGGAGTCTTTGGGGTTTTCTACGTATAGTATCATGTCATCTGCAAATAATGACAGTTTCACTTTCTCCTTTCCAATTTGGATCCCTTTTATTTTTTCTTCCTGTCTGATGGCTGTGGCTAAGACTTTCTAGAAGTGGCATTTTTAGCACTTCATAAATGCTGGTTGATATGTGATACAGGGTAAGACTTTCTGGACAGGAATTGTTGACTCTACAAGGTAATGGTAAATTAGAATATTTACCCCCTGCTCAGACTTGATTTGCATATTATATTTTCTACTGGTTATCTTAAAGATATTTTACATTAATAGTGTTAAGTTAGCATCCTTGAGACAGGTCAGAGCTCCCATTCTGGGGACAAAGCAGGTCATTAAAGCCTGCTTAGTGAACTACCTACATTCATAATCATCTGGCTATTTTGACAGAGTCTAGAGTCTGATGGTATTTCCTGTAGGAATAGTGCATTTGGGTGGCAGCAAGAATCTGCGTTTCTGTGGCAAAAAATTATAAGAGCTGTCTTTATAGGGCTTTTACTTACGGTTTTAGCTAGAGAGTTCTGGGATTAATAGTTAAAAGCAGTCACTTCTGAGAGGACTTTGGAAAGCAGTGCTACAGGCCAAGATTGTGGGGCAATGTCTCTACAATCACAGGAAACTAGCTGCATCCTCCTAATCTCCCTCAGAAGCTGGTCATCTAGCTAAATGTGTACAGCAATTGGTTGTGGTGTGAAAGGTTGATTTGGATTTCCTTAGATGATAAATAAATAGAATGTTTCCAACTCTTTGGGGAAATAGTGGGAAGTTGTGGACCCCACACAAAATGGGCAAGGCAACTTGATCCTTGAGGAATAAACATACATGTATCCAACAGCCAGATCTCAAGTAGCTTCTTCCAGTGGCTTCAAACCAAAGCTAGAGAGCAGAGTGAACGTGAATGCAAATTGAGTCAATGCAGAGGACAGTTGAGAAGTGTGTAACTGCCATGTTTTCCTCTGGGCTCTCAGAGACTAGTGGTATTTACTCAGATGTTGCTGGTGACTGGCAAGTACGAGCTACCTGACTCAGCCACAACAGGTTATGAAACGCTTTAAGATAAAACAATGTTGGATAGGTTTTTACAAATAGGACAAGTTTTAGGAATTACAAATAATAAATTACAAGGAAGTTGCATTCAGAGGCCACCTGTTGGTTAAAAAGGCCTTTTTTAAAAGTTGAGACTTGGGCCTTGGCCAGTGTGGCTCAGTTGGTCGAGCATGGTTCTGTGCACTGAAAGGTCGCTGGTTCAATTCCTGGTCAGGCACATGCCCAGGTTGCTGGCTAGATCCCAGGTTGGGGTGTGTGCGAGAGGCAGCCGAGCAATGTTTTTCTCTCATACTGATATTGCTCTCTCTGAAAAATCAATAAAAACGTAATTTTTAAAAAGTCAAAATTTGTGACCAGCTGGTGTTGTTCAATGGTTGAGTGTCAACCCATGCACCAAGAGATCACCAATTTGATTCCCAGTCAGGGCACATGCCCAGGTTGTGGGCCAAATCCCCAGTGGGGGACATGCAGGAGGTGGCCAATCGATGATCTCTCTCATCAATGTCCCTATCTCTCTCCCTCTCCCTTCCTCTCTCTCTAAAGTCAATAAAGAAAAAAGTATTAAAAATAAATTAAAATTACATTTTAAAAAATGTCAAAATTTGAGACTTGGGACCATCTCCCCAAGCAGGGTTTACTATATGAAGAAATTAAGCCACAGTTCCTGTTATAGAATGAACCATTGGCAAAGCTGGGAATAGGGCCCAGGATATCTGGTTCCCAAAATCATGCTGCTTTTCACTACTCAGTTCCATTACCTGCTACTTGACAGGTAATTATTAGTGAGCTCACCAGGAGATCCAGCGAATGAAGTCTTCTCTTCATTAGAATGCCTTTCATAGTGCCTTAGCACCCAGTGGGTGCTCAACAAATGTTCACTGAGTGCTCAACAAATGCTCATTGACTAGGCAACATCCAACCTCCTTTTCTGATAGCTTTCATTTCTTCCTCCAGATTTTAGCAGCCAGGAGGTGCTGTCTGAATTGAGAGCACTATCTCAGAAACTCAACAAGGACAACCATCAGTCCAGGAAGCAGAAAGTGAGTTCAGCAAGGACAGTTTTGCCAGTCCAGAGAGAGGGACCTGCCAGGGAAGAAGAAGAGCCCTTGTTGCTGCAGACGCTGGAGAGAGCAAAGACTCTAGAGGAGCTGGACAAAGAAGGGTGCTTTCAAAATAAGGAGCTTTCCAGACCTGCATTAGAAGGGAAGCAGTTGGAGAAGAATCCAGATAATCAGCCTAGTGCTCCCAAGAAGAAAAGGAAGGAGCAAATGATTGACCTGCAGAACATCCTAACCACAAAATCTCCTTCCATGAAGTCTTTGGCAGTTCCCACGACAATAGAGGAGATGGTGAGCAAAGGCAGGGTCCAGGGTCGTGGGCCATTGTGGGGGATCAGAGCTGGTGCCGGAAGTGCCCTCTTACTTGCACAAGGAGTAGAATCAGTGAAGTGTGTTGTGCTGGGATCACATTTTGGTAGTTGAGAGGCCCAAAATAGTATGGCGCCAAGTTGGCCCCAGTGAGTTTGATATATGTAAATCTTTGTGTGTCACTGAGACTCCCACATCCTAAATTCTGAGCCACCAAACCCTCCCTGGGGTTACTCTAAAACTGTCCGCAGGTCCGGTAGGTGGGGCTCAGTGGTTGACTGTAGACCCATGCACCAAGAGGTCGCTGGTTCGATTCCCGGCCAGGACGTATGCCCAGGTTGTGGGCCTGATCCCCAGTGGGGGCATGAGGAGGCGGCCAGTCGATGTCCTCTCTCATCGATGTTTCTATCTCTCTCAATAAAGGAAAAAAAATTTTTTTAATTAAAAAAATAAAACTGCCCTAAGAGGAAAGAGGGAGGTACTCAAAGCTCTGATGAGATCCCAGGCAGGGTATTCAAAAGGGAGTCATAGGATTCTTGCCAAGGATTTGCTCTAGTCAGTGGGCTCTCAGATGGTCCAGGACTCCCTGATGAAGTAACTGAAATTGCTCAAGTGAAGAGCCCTGGCTCGTCTCTTCAGAGCTATAAGCTGGAGGATGCCTGCATACTGGCTAAGCCATTTGGAGCTCCTCCTCCTAACACAGGCCATTCATTCCTCTTCCTCCACCCTGCAGCTTCCTTACTGAAACTTTAAAATTGTGTCATATGATAATGAGTTGAGGATATTTACCCCAGAGAGAAGAAAATTGGAACACGATTGGCTACCAATCTGTTTGCACTGCAAGACCATCCTTGTTCAGCGCTTTCCCCCTAGAGGGCGCTAAAATGTCACAACCAAAAATTCAATGTTCTTGGCTGAACCACCGCTCTAAGGCAAGCTGTAGCTACAGAACCTCCTAACCACAGTATCTCCTTCCCTGAAGTCTTAGGCAGTCCCCATGACAGTAGAGGAGTTAGCAAACAGAGCCAGGGTCTCAGACCACTGTGGGGGATCAGAGCTGATACAGAAAGTGCCAGAAAGGAGATTTTGTGCTTAGGAAGCTCTGTAGCTCCTCCTTTACCCCCAAACCCCCTTCTCTGTTCTCACTCTTGTTTCTTCCCAGGAAGATGAACAGGAGAGAGATCAAAAGCAAATGATAAAGGAAGCTTTTGCTGGTGATGATGTCATCAGAGACTTCTTGAAAGAGAAGAGGGAAGCTGTGGAGGCGAGTAAGCCAAAGGACATGGACCTGACTCTGCCTGGCTGGGGCGAGTGGGGTGGTGTTGGCCTAAAGCCCAGTTCCAGGAAGAGACACCGGTAAGAACAGGGAAGAAAGCCTGTCAGAAGGGCACCAGGTTCTCCACCTCACCATCACATACCCCTCCCTGCCCTTTTGACTAAGTCCGTAAGGCTCTTAGACATCCTGTTCTACTTTCCAGGTTTCTCATTAAAGTACCTGAGGGTTCTCCAAGAAAAGACAAGAATTTGCCAAATGTGATTATCAATGAGAAGCGAAACATCCATGCAGCAGCTCACCAGGTGAGGGATAGAGAGCTCTTCAGCTGCCTCCTCTTTGCTGCCCAGCTTGCTTGGGAGGAATATCCTAGTGCTCTGTGGTCTAGAGGGATGTGTGATCTTGACCATGGAATCAAATCTATTTTTGTTTTTACTGGCTGGCTCTGAGATGAATAATTCTAGATAGTCTCTGCTGTTTTAATTACTGACCAGGAAAAAAGGTTCAGGCTTACAGGCTAATCTTAGCAGCAACAGTGAGGCCCTCAGATCTGTGTTTTCAACTAGTAGCCCACATAACACTGATGCAAATGGGCCTCGCCAAAGGAAGAATTACTGTTCTTCAAGCTGGTATTTAAGTCAAGGTAACGTACAAAGGCTGTAAAATTTGCGCTACATCTTAAGAATAATTAAGACAAACAGGTACTTGTTCAGGGTAGTGCAAGAATTTTAAATTGTGTCATATGATAATGAGCTAGGGTTATTTACCTAAGAGAAGCAAATTTGAGCAGTATATTGAAGGCTGTCATGTGGAGCGGAGTCATATAAAGTAGAAGTTAGAGGAAAGGCAGAGTTCAAGTCAATAAAAAACTTTCTGCTAGTACAAAGGGAATGTATTGCTCTCGGGTATGAGCAACGGGTGCTTCACCAGGCCATGATTCTAGGTGAAGGTCAGTGTGTGGAATTCAATAAAGATCACCCTTCCCTTCCAAGGGTCTTATTTATTTATTTTTTAATGCAGTCACAGCAAATTGACAAATAGTTTTCCAGAATCTCCATTGATTTTTCCTCATCTTTTTAATAAGCTATAGACTGCAAGTCCCAGCATGCAATAGAATAAAATGTGCTTCAAACTGAAGGTAGTGAGGAGACCTTCTGGTTTGTTTTTTTTCCTCTTGCCCTCAGTGTTATGTACAGAACTAGCTATCAACCCCAATAAAATGTTTCCTTAACCTAAAGAGAATCTGTCCTTCACTACCAGCAGGACCACCTGGCAGTGCTCAGCTTCTCTTGAGCATTCCACTGAATATTTCCAAAGACTACTGATTGTAACTTCCCCATTTTCCTGCTTACATCTTTTTCCTCCTCTTTGGCAATTGGGGAAGTGTTTAAAGATTTGGGGCGAAATGTCTGAAGATAGGACTGTGGTGAGTGGCAAAGAGTACTGGGCAAGGCAAGGAGCCTGGATTCTGCTCTCCCTTGCTGTTCCTAATTTTCTTGTCTCTAAGCCAAATTCTCGTGCTGCAGGAAATTACTTTTGCCATTACCTTGGGCTTTTCAGCTTGGACAGTTTGTGATGCCAGTGGAGGATGAAGTTAACTAAGTATAGCAGCCTGGTAGAGTTTAGGATTCAGGAGTAAACCTTTGGGTTCCTTAAAACATCAACCCTGTGTGTCAAGGAGAGGAAAGGAAAGGATGCAAAGCTTGGAGAGGGTTAGGAGGGTCATAGAATCCACAGGGATACACAAATGCCTGGGTGTTTCTTACAGTTGCAAGTCACAAGAATAGGAAGGTTATGTAGAAGACCCACTTGAGGACAGTAGCCCTGGAGCTACTGTAGTATTCCTGCAGCTATGGGGGCAGTGTCAGGGTGGTTTTTCAATCCCTGGATTGTTGCATAAGCCTGGGGAGAGGGGGGCCCTAAATCCAAATTAGGCCCCTCTACTCCCAAATGTCCTCAAGCAGATTAGGACTCCTAAGGATAGATGGGAGCATTGGGATGCCTTGAGCTTTCAGCTTTACCCACTGCCTCCATCATGTGGCTCTACAGCCTGTGTACCAACACTACCTGACCAATTGCCATTATACAACTGCACCCCAGACCTGGCTCATGCCTAGTCACTCTACCTTCCTTTCCAGGTGCGGGTGCTTCCATATCCATTCACCCACCATCAACAATTTGAACGGACCATCCAGACCCCTATAGGATCTACGTGGAACACCCAGAGGGCCTTCCAAAAGCTGACTACGCCCAAGGTTGTCACCAAGCCAGGCCATATCATTAAGCCTATAAAAGCAGAGGATGTAGGCTACCGGTCTTCCTCAAGATCGGACCTCTCTGTCATACAGAGGAATCCAAAACAACTCTCCGTACGTCACAAAAAACAACTGAAGAAAAACTAAAGATTGAGTTGCTTGCAGGAGTGACATCTTGGTACCCAGAACCAGGAGCCCTGACTGCTCCTCCATTGGCCTGGTTTTACTCCAAGCTACAGGATCAATTTCAAAATTTGTCAGCACACTGTGGGTATAGTTAAGCCACATTTTAGAAATAAAGGCATTTTTATCTATTTAACTGGAGTGTGTTCTGTGTTGTCTCCCAGTCGAATCATTTTCAAGTCAGATGCTTTTGGACATTCCCATTGCACTTCTCCAGATGTACTTGTCAGGGGAACTTCATTTTCTTACCAAGGATTATGTAGGTAGTGCTAAATTGAAGTGACATTACCCTAGCTTATTATCTTAAATATATCACATCAGACATGATCCACCATAAACAACCAATTTTTTAGACTCAGGGATAGACTAATTATTGTATATTCTTTTTTTTATTTTTTTTCTTTATTGATTTTAGAGAGAGAGGAAGTGGGAGAGAGAGACAAACATTGCTGAGAGAGAATATTGATTGGCTGCCTCCTGCATGCTCCCCACTGGGGATTTGGCCCACAACCTGGGCATGTGCCCTGACTGGGAATCAAACTGGGGACCTCTTGGTGCATGGGTCAACACTCAACCAGTGAGCCGCACAGGTCGGGCTTATTGTATATTCTTAACCTCATAAGGACGTAGCACTATTGCACTTCACCTCCTGCCTTAGAGGTTGGTGTCCCCAGCCTTTTTTGACCAAGACGGGCGGGGGGGATTTTTGTGTGTCACAGACCCCTCTGAGAATTTAATGAAATTGTGAACCCTCCCCAGAAAAATGCACAAACATATACATACATCTTATGTACAGTGAGGAGCTTTACAGACATTCGGAATCCCTGGGCCAAAAGCTCTCTACCACTGAGGGTTTTTTTTGCAAATTTCCCCCACCAACATGGCCCTCTTTTCCAAATCGGTTCCAAAATGTTTACATTTTCAATGTAATTAGTCCTGACACCTTTATTGTATGTAAGCAAAAGATTTTAGAGTACAGTTCTCCAGTGTTACACATTGAATTAGTGGCTGGGTAGACACTAGGACCCCAGACTAAACTCTGAAGTGAAAAAGCCACGCCATAAATTTCTATGAAATTCCCCGTGGTAGCTATGGGCCTCTACTACCATTGCTATCCTCTCAAAAAACAGACCAGGTCTGGGAATTAAGAGAAATACGTTGATCGTGTTTAAAGCCCAAGGGGCATTTTTAAGTTATCTAATGGTTTGAGATTACCAGCGATCCATTTGCTGGGATGACCCTTAAGTCAGTGGCCAGTGGGGGAAAGGGAGATGGGGAACTCCTGCCTCCGTTTAAGAGACTATAAACTTCACTCTGGAGCACAAAGCTGCCACCTCCTCCCACCCACCCCTCAAATTGAAGCGTCCAATCAAGTGACCCCAGTAAACGACCAATCCCTATCTACTTTCCCGGGACCCTCCTCAGCTCCGGTGTCCTCCCTGCAGCCCAGGAGTGATGCAAGCGACCCCATCCTTCAAAGGGAAAGGCAGGCGCTAGAACGTTTATAAACGACACCCACTTTCAGCCTCCCAAGCCCCAAAACGGATTCGACTGTTGTTCAGTGGGGCTTTTTTTTCTTTTCTTCCTCTGAAACCTCCGAAGTGTTCTCCTTTCCCATTGGCCGAAGCTGCCCCTTGACGCCACCCTGGCCTTGCTCGCTGATTGGCCCATTCTGGACGTGCCCAAGCCTTTTTCCCAGGGTGTGGCGGGGGGGGGGGCGCCCCCAACAAGGCTCTGACCCCAGGCTCCTCCCTTCCCCCCGCCCCCCTCTCTGGTCCGAATGGTACTGCCCTGGCTCAGCACCTCCACAGCCCAGGCGGCTGCCTTTAGGGCCCCCGGACGGGGTGGGGCACGCTGGGGACGGGCAGAGGGTGGTGGTGGCGCCTTCCTGCCCAGCCCAAAGCCACCCCCGCCACCCTTCTCCAGCCCTCGTAGGTCCCACTTTCTCTGAGGCAGTTTTCGTCCTGCCTGGGTAGCCCCGTCCTGTCTGTGCGGCCCCCTCCGTGGTCTTTGGGTCATCCTGGTCAGCAGCGTTAAATCCCTGCCCTCAGCGCTCCCCACATGCCCATCTGCCTCCGCCCCCAGGTCCTCGCTGCACTCCCTTTCCCAGTGCCTGCTCACCCTTATCCTCCCAAGCCCGCCGAAGCCCCGGGCCCCCCTTCCTCGCGGACTGTCCATCTCCAGGATACCCCTCCCTGTGTGTGGCCATTCCTCCCAGCAGCCTCCCCTTCATGGCCTCCCCTCTGTGGCCAACGTGGTGGAGCACTCCCGGCCACCCCTACCCCCGCCCCCGGTCGTCTCCGTTCCCCCGCGCTCCCTTCTTGTGTTGTCCCTTCTCGTCCCTAAGTCCCTCCCATATTATGCCCTCCCCAACACACAAATCCCTCCCTCCTAGGCGTCCCTCGGCGCCCCTCCCCTCCCCCTTGCTCGTCTAGGCCCCTCCCATCCACCCCGTCCTTTTGTCTCCTCTTTGGTCTGTAAGTCCCCCGCCCCTTCCTCACTCCCGCCCTCTCTCCCCGCTAGCAAGCGCATATCACCCCCAAGTCTGGGCGCCCCGCCCCCCGGCCGCGCCCCGCAGGCGCCCTCGCTCCGGGAGACCCATCTCCGCCCCCGGGGCTCCGCCCCCTCCCCCCAACCGTGGCGTGGCTCCGGCCCGCCAGCCCTGCGGACCGCCCAGGTTCCCGGCTCGCTCCTCCCGCCGCTGCCGCTGCCGCTCCCCGACCCGCCCTTCCCGGGCGGGCGTTTCGCGCTCACGCGTTCCCTCGGCCCCGCTCCGCCAGACCCTCCCGCTTGCAGCATGCCCTCGGGGCAGCCCTGGCACCCGGCGCCACGGGCACCTCGTGTGCAGGCGCACAGCCCCGAGCGCGAACCTGGCCCAGGTCGCTCCGGTCGAGCCCGGCCTTTGCTAGCGGCCTGGGACGCAGGCGCCCGTCGGAAGGGTTTGGGGGACGGGCCGGCGGCGGCGTCTCCTGCAGCCCAGGCCTGGCAGGCGCGCCCTGGGGAGAGACGGGGTGACCCGACCTCCCGGGATAACTTTACCCGGAGCCTCCTCGGTTGCTCACGCCCCAAGCCTGTGGCAGCAGTCCGCGGAGTGCAGCTGGGATCCGCGGCCGAGGTGGACTGTCCTCCCGAGGAGCCTTAGTTGTGGACGTGAGGCCTGAGGAGGCGAGGGCCGGTGAAACGCCCCGGCCACCCACGGAGAAAGGGCGAGCCCACGCTGGGCGCCTTGGCCCCCGCCTCCCGGCCCTGGTCTCCCCACCGGTGGCACAGAGCGAGGTTGCTTCTGGCCCTTTGTATGGATCCCTTGCGAATATAGGGCTGGAATTACACCCTCAATCCGAGGTGGGGGACACAGCTCAAGTGGACAGAAAACCCAGACACACACCAATAGGCACTTTAAAAAATGCTATTAGAGCCTCGCTGGAGTGGTTCAGTGGATTGAGCAGCGTGCCACGTACTGAGAGGTTCCCAGTTGGGGCACATGCCCAGTTGTGGGCTCCATCCCCAGTGTTTCCCAGGTGGGGGGTGTGCAGGAGGCAGGCAATTGATGACATCGATGATGTTTCTATCTCTCTCTCCCTTCTCTAAAAATTAAATTAAAAAGTATATATTTTTTTAAAAAACTATTAGAGAATGCCCAAGTTCACAGTGTTTCCTCCCCTGAACCTCTTCTCCAAAACTCTCACTCAGTCTTACCTAGTTACCAACCAGACTGGAAGCTGTTTGAAGGGGGCCCTGTTTGTTGCTGTGGCTCACTCAATAGATCCCTTGTGATTGGTGGACAAGTGGATGCATTTGTTAACTGCCTGCCTTTGGGAATCTGTGTCATTATTGTATGACTTATGGTTGTAAGATAGAGATGGCCAAGAACTGGGTTGGGATTACTAGCTTGTGCCAGGCACAGCGTGATGTGCAAAGGACAACGAGCCATCAATGTTTTTTTGAGACTGGTGTAGCTGCTTGTGCAAGAGACAGATGCCTACCTCTTGGTCCTCAGAACTGGCAGTTCCAGAGCTGGATGTCCTGAATAAGGAAGAAACTGAGAAGCTGCCTTAGCCCTTTCTCAATTGGAAGCTGACTTGCTTGGGCCAGATCTAGCTGCACTCACCATCAGAACACACAGGTTGATGTGACTTTCTAGGGATGGGAATGGGTTTTCAGGGAGCCCTAAACTTTCCAATTTTACTCCCAACATTTGGCAACTGGAGCTGAGAGAAAGGAAGTAGCCAGTTTTTTCTCAGTGTGAAGCAATCGGTCCCATTTAAGGATCAAACCTGTAACTCTTCATCCATTTCCTCCAAGATTGAGCTGAACCCCCATGTGTCAGAGGAAAGAGACTGCAGGCAAAGGAGACCCAGTTAACAGCAGTTAACCCCAGTGGAGCAGGGACAATGGAAGTGCTCCTTCCTCCCATTCAACTACTCTATCTACTCCTTTGTAACCTGGCCACTTTAGAATCAGTCCAGCTCCCTACCCACCTCACACCTCTGTCCCCAGCAGGACAGGTCCTCTCTGTCCTTCCTCAGCCCTCCACTGTCTTCACTCAAGCCAGCCTGCTCTAAATGGTCACAGTGATCCAAGCAGAAACTGAAACAGTAACAATCAGTGTCAAGAGACTTGGGCAGAGATGCCTCTGAGCGCCTGTGCCTTGGCACAGATGTTCTTGTTGTCCTGGGAAGAAATATGAAATTCCCTCCCCAGGCATGGAGTGAGAATACTCCAGGAATTAGCCCCCAAGGACAGAGTTGCCGACCCAGCACAGCCTCCCTGTCCCCTAATTATTCAGAATTGGGACTGTCACCATGCCTCTTCCACATCCTAGCCAAGGCTGGCCCCCTGGGCCATTTGTCCTCCTCACCAAGGAGTTTAAGGGTAGTGGGGCTGGAGCTGCATGGGAAGATTACTAAACTGTTCCACAGTCCTCTTTAGGTACCATTAGCACATCACAATACATATTTGGAAAAAGATCACAATTAACACTGGAAGAAAAACAGTAAACACAATGTCACTTTGCCAGGTTCAACAGTTTTGTTTTGTTTTGTTTAAATGCTAATGGCCTCAAATGGGGAGCAGCATGCATCAGTTAAATAAACAAGCCATTAGACAGAGACTGGAAGTGTCAACACACGACTAATC